AGAATGTACAGGTGTATCTTGGATCCCAAACGCCTTGGAACTTTGACATTTTGGCTCCCGAATGCTGCAAACCCAGAAGTGAGTGTTCCAGTTTGTGGACGTTCTTTTGGAACCCAAATGTCTGATGGGGTTCTACGGCTTCTGGTTGGCTGCAGGAGCTTCTTGCAGCCAATCAGAAGCTGCAATTTGGTTTTCGAACGTTTTGGAATGTTTCGGATTCTGTTCGACTTCCAAGGTACGGCTGTATTACAAGTGGGGTCCACAATGGACTCCCAAAATTTCTGGCATAGTGTTGCTGACCATAAACTGCTACATCTTCCTGTGAGGAAACTCAGGGTTTTTGTTTTCTCCTTGATACAGGAGTATTGGAAGGGAAACATTTAAGGCAGAGAAGAGAAAGCTGTGTCTCCTCCCCATCTACCCTCATGTTGCTGGAGTAGAATTGCAATCTTCTTTGGCCCTTGGAAATACTGGCTGGATCTCCATGACATCTGGAGGCCATCAGATTCCCCCACACTCGTCATTTTATTTGGGGAGGGGGACTTAGCTGGACTTGCCCTAGTATTCTTTTAAAATTTATTTTTGTTATATTACAAGGCAGAATGCATTGAGGCAAGTCTTTCAATACAGAGGCCAATAAAAGAGTAGCAAGCAAATAAATCTGTCATTAGGCAAAACTTTCGTGATGATTTATGCTCTCGCGCCGCATTTCAAGAGCAAGTTGTATGTTATAAAGTGAAGTCGAAAAAAGTTTGTCTCCATGTGTGACTCTGCTGTTCAGCTATCCAGGATTTTTATTTTTATTTTTTTAAATACAACACCAAACCTACCATTTCCTTTCTGCTATATCACATTACCCTTTCTGTTTTTGTCTTTCACTATAAAAGATCCTTTTATTTTTTCCTCCCCCATTTTGGTCTAAAGGCAGTTTAAAGGGGGATTTTGTTGAAAGGCAAAGTAAGATGAAATGGGTCAATATGTATCTTTGTACCAGGCAAATACATACTAAGTTTGAGCTTTGTAGTCATCTTATGCACCCTACAGTGCAGTCGTATGCATGCTTACTCTGAAGTAAGCCTCATTTAGTTCAATTGCACCTTTTCAGGTATGTGTGTCCAGGATTGCTGCCTGAGCGAATTTGCTCATGTAAAAATTGTCACCTGTGTTTTCTTTTATATGGGTATATCGGTGCAAATGCTATCTTTCAAAAAAGGTGTATAAACAGGAAACATGGGTGTGAAAGATAAAGTTTCATAGTATAAATAGCCATGCAGAATTAACTTTAGCTGCTTACTATTCTGCATTCTCAACGCTCAATACATCAGAAGTGCTTCTAATTTCTGTGCACATATGAGATGCTGTGGGTCAGTGAATGTGTGTGCTTTTGCAAGTCCTTCCCATGGCTGAAATAAAAATTAGGAAAGCATGGAGCAGGGCTAGCCCAAGACATTTTGCTGCCTGGAGCAAATGACAAATCTCTCTCGCCGTCTACAAATTTCCAGTTACCATTTTACAGTCATACCTCAGGTTGAAGTTGCTTCAGGTTGAGCGCTTTTGGGTTGTGCTCCGCGGTGACACAGAAGTAATGGAACGCATTATTTTCGGGTTTCGCCGCTCGTGCATGTGCAGATGCTCAAAATGACGTCACGCGCATGTGCGGAAGCGGCGAATCGCGACCCGTGCACACGCAGACGCAGGTTGCGTTTGCTTCAGGATGCGAACGGGGCTCCAGAACGGATCCCGTTCGCATCCAGAGGTACCACTGTACTTCACCACTGGTGACAGGACAAGGTTCTCCACCACACTAGAGTTGCTCAGGGACTGCAGGGCAAGCTGTGTAGCACACACTACTCTGTTTTCTTGCACTTCACCCCTGCTGCCCTCTCCCTGTAATCTGCCACCTGAGGCAAATGCTAGGGCCGGCTGCCACGTGCAAAGTTCAGTATGAAAAGCCTGGTGGTTTTCTGGTCTGTGTAGCATCTTCATAAGCTCTTGGGAAGCATGCTTGGTGCAGGTAGCCTGTTCAAAGAACGTAACATTCAGAGGCCCTGGTGCACTTGACAGTTGTTTTCTATGGCTTCTCTCCAGTTTGTCAGAAGCATTGCTTAGTCAGGAAAGCAGCTGTTTGGAACCCCTTGAGCTGGCAGGGGAGTCTTCCTTTCTCTCCTAAGCATGTGAACAATCAGATCAACGTAGGGTTTGCAAATTGGGCTGTTCTGCTCCCTGGGAGCAGCTGGATAATCTCTCTGTCTGTCTGTCTGTCTGTGTGTGTTAAAAAGACAAGGGGCCAGATCCAGTTCACCAGTTTGGTTGAATTAATTGAACTAAATCGTTTTGATTGGGTTTTGCCATTAATTATTAGCGTTCTGACTTTTTTATATTCCATGGTGGGCCATGCAATCCGCTATTCTGAATAATGCTTTTTATCAGGGAGGGGGAAGCGGGGATGGGTTTACAGAACCGGGGGTGGGGGTTGTGGCCTTAAAAAGCTTGGGATCTACCGACATAGGGACAACTGAGATTAAATGCTGTATAAATGGCCTAAAGAAATTGGGTATTGGGTAGGCGGAGGCCTACCTGGGTCAAAGCGGGCTTGCCCCCACTCACAGGCAGTGCTTCGTGGCTCAGTGTAACTCTGATTTGCCTGTATTTGAATATGCTTCTATGGGAACCGCAGGTTGTCTCTGTCCTTGTTCAGGTCAGCTTGACTTGCCATTTGGACTGCCTGTTGTTACCCTGCGTAGTGCTAAGAGCTTTGCATTTGTGTCTTGCCTTTCTTATTAAAGATTTAGTTAGGTAAGGAATCCCGTTCCACCCACCCAGGAAGTGAATATTTCATACCCTCAAGTAGGCTCCCATCTGCACTATGTATTTAAAGCAGCACAGAGTGCCCTGTGAAAATGGATTTATTGTTAAACCACTCTGGAAAATTGTGGCACTGGCAGGGGACTGGCGTGTCCTATGAGCTCCCAGCATCCTTAGCAAACTGCATTTCCCACAATTCTTCTGGGGGAAGCCATGACTATAATAGTTTATTATTTATACCCTGCCCATCTGGCTGAGTTTCCCCAGCCACTCTGGGCGGCTCCCAATCGAGTGTTAAAAACAATGCAGCATTAAATATTAAAAACTTCCCTAAACAGGGCTGCCTTCAGATGTCTTTTAAAGATAAGATAGCTGCTTATTTCTTTCACATCTGAAGGGAGGGCGTTCCACAGGGCGGGCGCCACTACTGAGAAGGCCCTCTGTCTGGTTTAAAGGAGCATGATAGCGCTTTAAATGTATAACGCAAGAAAATTTGCAGAGCTGAAAATCCTTGGGGAGCTCGATTCGGCAGGATTACACAACCTTTTGCAAATATATCCACCCTAAGGGACATAATTCGGTGGGCCATAGCTGAGTGACGGAGCACATGTTTGGATTGGAGAATGCCCCAGGTTAAATTCCCAGCACCTCCAGGTATGCCTGGGATAATTTCCTGTCCTGAAACACTGGAGAATTTGGAGTCAGTGTCAACAGTACTGAGTTCGGTTGACCAAAGGTCTGACTTTGTGTAAGGCAGCTTCTTATAAAGAAGTGCAATAGTAATATTATTGCTGTCTAGGTAAAAATACGCATAAGCCCCAATACTTTATCAGCATCTTTTGCCTAAATCCTGCTGAGTCTCTTCCATTTATTTCAGTGAAGCTGGGGAATGGTGTCCTATGTTTTTAATTGTACACTGACTCATTTATATCTGCCTCGATTTAATCCCCTTTTTTGTGCATGGGGACAAGAGTGTACTCCTGTTAGCTTAATTTTTTTTAAGTGCCTTTGAATTATTTCACTAATTCTGCTGTATAGTAGTCAGAAGTCAATGGGCAAGGAAAGCTGGCCATGAGATGGATAATTAATCCAAAGCAAACTTTAACTACCTCATAATTTCATCTGCTCTTCCCTGTGTTGATGCTATGGATATTCCTCATTGTGAGGACAGGCAATACTGTCTAATATAATTTGGTGGGATTGCAGTTGTTATTATTATTATTATTATTATTATTATTATTATTATTACTACCCTGCCCATCTGGCTGGATTTCCCCAGCCACTCTGGGTGGCTCCCAATAGAATATTAAAAACACGATCAAACATTAAAAACTTCCCTAAACAGGGCTGCTTTCAGATGTTTTCTAAAAGTCATGTAGTTGTTTATTTCCTTGACATCTGATGGGAGGGCATTCCACAGGGCGGGCACCACTACTACCAAAAAGGCCTTCTGCCTGGTTCCCTGTAACCTCACCTCTTGCAGTGAGGGAACCGTCAGAAGGCCCTCGGCGCTGGACCTCAGTGTCCGGACTGAACGATGGGGGTGGAGACGCTCCTTCAGGTATACTGGGCTGAGGCCGTTTAGGGCTTTAAAGGTCAGCACCAACACTTTGAATTGTACTCAGAAACATAAAGACAGTATAACATATCAACCATCAGTTTTGGGAAGTCAGGCAAGGACAGTCACATACTGTCACTGCTGGCGGCGTAGAATGTTGCCAGCATTGAAATGAAGGGAGTGAGAACACGTTGACTAATGTCACACAGAGGTGCCTCCAGATAATTATCTACCCTCACCATGGCCTTATGACATGCCAGTGTCCTAGCACATGGCATGGAGAGTTGCTATTATCGCTTTCCATAGGCATGTGGCTGACCACTGTGAGAACAGGATGCTAGATTAGATGGGTTATTTATCTGATGCAGCAGGATCTTCTTACACTCTTAAGAGTTTTCATGCTACTGCTGTTGCCCTTGCAACCAGAATGCAGCAATGTCTTACACTACGTGTTGTGGCTGCCATGGGGTCAAGTCAAAATGCAGAGGCCGCTTCCAGCAGTTTCTGCATGATATTTGTAAGTTTTTGAATGTAAGCACTCTATAATAAAGCACTGTGTTGGTAGCAGTTGATGCTGGAACTTGTTCATGGTGGTGAGCAGCCTTCTATAACATTCATGTGTGTGGTATGTGCTTAGTTTCAGAATGGCTGCGGTTATTGCCTTTCCTGGGTGTCCTTGCTCTGCTTGGATACCTTGCTATTCGTCCATTCCTCCCCAAGAAGAAGCAGCAGAAGGATAGCTTGATCAATCTCAAGATCCAGAAGGAGAACCCCAAAGTAGTGAACGAAATCAACATTGAGGACCTTTGTCTCACGAAGGCAGTGTATTGCAGGTGCTGGCGCTCAAAAACGGTGAGTCATTTTAATGCTTTGAGATGTGGCTTCAAGGTTACTGTGATTTCCAGTATACCTGAAGGAGCTAGTAGATACTATATGAAAAGATCCTTTAAGGAAGACTGTATACTGCTGGAGTCACAAAATTCAGACAACCAAATAGCAACAGACTCTAGGGAGACTTGACACTGGCAGCTTTTAAGCCTCAACAAACCCACCTCAGTCTCTGTAAAGTGCCAAAGGATCCAGGAGCTCCAAGTTTCTATGAGCTTGAGCTACAAGTGGCTGGAGTAGGCCGCGTTGTGCCCTCCCATCAGCATCAGGCAGTGTGGCCAGAGATGATGGGAGGTGTAGCCTGCAGCAACTGGCTATACCAATATTAGATGGTTCATAACCAGTGTCATAGGGATGCGGGTGGTGCTGTGGGTTAAACCACAGAGCCTAGGACTTGCCGATCAGAAGGCCAGTGGTTCGAATCCCTGTGACGGGGTGAGCTCCCGTTGCTCGGTCCCTGCCCCTGCCCCTGCCAGCCTAGCAGTTTGAAAGCATGAACTGCAAGTAGATTAATAGGTATCGCTGCAGCGGGAAGGTAAACGGCGTTTCCGTGAGCTGCTCTGGTTCGCCAGAAGTGGCTTAGTCATGCTGGCCACATGACCCAGAAGCTGTATCCCGGCTCCCTTGGCCAATAAAGCAAGATGAGCGCCGCAACCCCAGAGTCGGCCACGACTGGACCTAATGGTCAGGGGTCCCTTTACCTTTACCCAGTGTCATGGATGGAGCAAGTACAGAGACCATTTTAAGGCATGCATTGTTTCATTTTGGGGTATTGGGCCTAGACTACTGTCCCTCAGGCTGGATCTTTTTCTGTCCCTGTACTTAAGCTTGTGGGTTGCCATCCCATTTTATCTATGCCAAATGTACTCTGTTCTAGTTATGAGTGACCCGGGCTCCTGTGCAAAAAGCTTCTCTGAATCATAATTACCACCCTACAATCAGTGCAGATATTCAGCTGCTTCTCTCTTGCCTTCTTTTCAGTTCCCTGTCTGTGATGGCTCCCACAAGAAGCACAATGAGTCGACAGGAGATAATGTGGGCCCATTAATACTCAAGAAGAAAGAAGTCTAGCAAGCCTCCCCAACTAAGCCACGACTGACGGGAAGTCCACTTGATACCCACGTGGTAGTGCTTTCAGTCTAATAGTTACTGTAGACTTGAGCTTTGATATCTCTTTAGGTTACCTTAGTTTTATAGACTGTGATAGACATGTGATGATATTTTTGATGGTCTCAAATGCCATGTCCAACTTAACGAAGAATGGTCCCTTTGTACATGCGTTTTTACTCCCGTAACAAAATGATCGCTCCCAGAGTTTCAATTTAACCAGTAATAAAATGTTAAGGTGATTCGTAAAGAGCCATATATGTACCCTTTCTCTGCTTAAAATAAGCACATCTACACTACAGATTTAAATGTGTCTGAAACTAGCTTAACTGTTGTGACTTCCACAAAAGAATTCTGGGAACGGAAGTTTTATCTTGATCCTGTTGACATTTCCTATTTGTTTCAGCGTCGTTTTTTTTACCACTGTGGTCCTTCCGCAAGTGAAGACAGCCTTGCCTATGGCATTCCTGGTTTGAGGAGTATGGCAATGGTTAATAAGCCCAGTTGAAAATAATTAAATCTAAGAACAATGTAATTGCTGTCACAGTCCATTTTATGGCTGATATTGGATGAAAGGTGGCATTTTTTCCTACATAAGCAACAATGACTAAGGCTTCTGCTCACAACAAACCAAAACCCAATTTGTCTGAAACAAGAGGAGTGCCTTATACGCTTATTTAAGTTTGAATAGTCCCATCTATCCCACACTCAAGAATCATTTTCCCAAAGAGACTCATGTTGTTCTGGTCTCCCTGTACATCTCAACACACACTTAATTCCTAATTCCATGCACAACCATATAATATAGTGAGTCAGGATCTGAGTTCCAAACAATATTAGGTTTTATGCTCTGTTCATGCTGTGGAAAACATCTACTGCCCCAATGCCAAAGCAGTATTAGCAATTAGTAGTGGCTTTCTCGACCTAGTTAGATACAAACTATTTATGACAATAAGGCTGTGATAGAAGCATCCTTGGCTAACATATGAGAAAATAAATGGCAAGGTAAATTCACCTCTGCCACCAACTTGCTGCCAGATATTCCCACTGTGGACAGAAAGTAGATTTCTATTGATCCCCTCTGTTCTGCTTGTTACTTACCTAGTACATAGGTTGGTTTGTGAAACTGACTGTGCCTTTTATATCTGATGCCCTAGTCCTCCCATTAGTGCCAAAATTCCTCCCATATTTTCTTCTGCATTACTCTGAATTATTACAAGACAACTGCTCTTCGATATGTAGCATGGTTTGTCAGCTTACTTTCGGAAGAAAACAAATTGCTAGTTTAAAAAAACCCTAAAACAACAACAACAACAACAACAACAGTGGTATATTCTTCATTGTGACCAACCTGGTTTTAGGTAAGTAATTTATGGATTTGTCCATATTACTTTCAGTCATGGAGGCCAAAGTTCTTTCTAGTGATGTACATGCATGCATATATGAGGAAGGTGTGCACACAGACCCACACTTTCTCCACGGCGGGGAGAAACTTTGGCCAGATGATTATGCAAATGAGCCTTTAATTACAGCTAATGTTTGTTGGATTGGGGGAAGGGGGGAGTCCCTGCCTACCACACTTCCCACTACAGATAACCCAGGTCAGGCTCACATTATGCAGACGAGGAAATAGCTGTTGCATTTCTCAACTTCTGGTTTCAGTTTGTTTTCTTCCTTTTTCAGCAGAAAACAACTCTGCCAGAGCCAGGCAGCGCATGGGTGTGGGGAGAGGCTCAGGGACCATAGCAGCTTGCAGCACCTTCAGATCTAGCACTAGGGGATTACTTGTCCTCTTATGCTTGGACTGGACCCCTGTGCCTGATCTGGAAGTAGGATGCCAATTCATGCCTGCATCCCAATATACATATCTGACTGGTGGAGCTCCATAGAACTACATTTGCTACAGAGCAGTCTTCTTCCTAAGACTGAACTCAGGTTGGGGCACAGCCTCTGAATGTCTGGGGAGAGAAGCTAACTGTGCCCTGTGCCAGTTAGCTGGGTTTCTATTATTATTTTATTATTACATGTGGAGTCCCCATTTTCTCTTAAGGAATTCAAGGTGGCATACACAAATTCCTCATTTTACCCTCACAGCAACCCTGTGAAGTAGTTTAGACTGAGAGACAATAACCGGCCCAATGAGCTTCCTGGCTCAGTGGGGATTTGAACCCCTATCTCCCAGGTCTTAATCCCAACACATTAACCACTATGCCATCCTGGCTCTTGACAAGATGCCACGAACTCACTTCTCTCGGAGCTGTTCTACTGTGCGCTAAAACTGAGTGTGTTCCATGAAAAATGAGCAAAAAAATAAGGTGCCAAATAGATTGAATGGGGTAAACTTGTAAGCAACACTGCCACTCCCCTCCCCACCCCCAAAAAAGTGTTTGGGTGGTGGGGAGGAGCGAGACAGACAATAAGCAATTTTCTTTTGAATACAGTGGTACCTCTGGTTATGAATAGGTTCCGGAGGTCCGTTCTAAACCCGAAACCTTTCTTAACCTGAGGTGCACTTTTGCTAATGGGGCCTCCCGCTGCCACCGCACGATTTCCATTTGCATCCTGGGGCAAAGTTCTCAACCCGAGGTACTACTTGTGGGTTAGTGGAGTTCGTAACCCGAAGCGTTTGTAACCCGAGGTACCACTGTATATCTGCCAAGAGAATTGTAAAAACAAGGAAAGCCAGACTCCCTACATAGGAACAAAAAGCACCGTGACCCCCCCCCCTTTAAGTGAATCTCTGCATGCATCCGCCTAAGATGGGGCTCTGGATTCACTTTCATCTGCTGTTATTTATTGTTTGATGTGATAAATCATGGGATTTGAACCATGATGTAGTTGAGATAGCTCAGTTAGTAGAGCACCGGACTCCCGACCTCAGGGTCATGGGTTTGAACCCCATGTTGGGCAGAAGATTCCTGCATTGCATTGAGTTGGAGATCCTCAGGATCCTATCCAAGTCTACAATTCTGTGATTCTCTGAACCTTCCGTAAGCAAACAGGGAGATAAAATAGATGCCCACTACACTTGGAACATGAAGATAATTTTCCTCACCACCACCAGAATGAAGCAGCTCAGTGCTAACTTGTGTTGTTTTTGAAATCTGAACTGGAGAAAACTAGAACAGGCCTCTCCTTTCCTGTGGATGAAACGCTGCTAGCCTGAGGTGTAGGCTCCGATTTCAGTTTAAGATTTCTTGTGAAGTTCCTAGCATCTCACCTACATACCTTGCCTGATCCTTTTGATATATATTTCAGGCAGCTTGCCGATTTGGAATCGTGTCTAAACTTTTGTTGGGTTGGGTTTTAATTTCACGGTAATTGCTGCAGACAATTCAAAGGATGTTATGGTGCACAACCAACATTGTGTGTGTGCGTGCAAGAGACAGGCCTGGAAAGTTACACCATGGAGGAAGTTACATATGTAATTCTGTTACTACCAATAAAATATTCATTCTACATCGCACCTTTGTGAATTTTGCATGTCTCCAGCTTGATACACCATGGCTCACAATTAGGACATAGCCTGAACGAAGGAAGTCATAGCAATAACGTTTTGTTACATGTTTAAAGAAAAAGGGAGAGAATGCGGGGGGCGGGGTGGGCGGGCGATGTTCCTAGGTGCTAGTGGATCCCATTGTGGATGCTAGGCTAAAAGGCAACAAAGATCAGGTTAGACAATTCCATCTTGAACATTTCAAAATATCTTAATTCATTATTGTAGACATCTGGCTATAATAGACCACTTTTAAAACTGCACTTCTGTTATAGCGTTGCACCATTATGCCTACAAGAATATCCTATGCTTGGCAAATCTGTAAAGTATAAGGTGAAGGATTATTTCTGTGGATTCTCCCATCCCCAGCTCCCACCCCAGCCCCCTGGCCATGCTATATCTTGCACCACGCCATGAACATAAATTCTGTTCCACTCACACAATAAGTTAGGATCCAGGCCAATGGTTCTGAAGCCTCTGGACAGAAAGCTTGAAAGAGCAAGAAAAAACCCCAGTCTTTTCACCCCGTGTCTTACATTGCTCTTCCCTTAACCATGCACTGCTCAGCTTCAAGGTCTGGGAAATGGTTCCTTGCATATGCTTAGGTTATTAATTACAGCTTTTGTTTCTGGGCCTTTGGATCTACTTAAATCTTTTGTTTTAGGATCATGTGCAGTAGCTGACAGCAGGGAGCCTTTGCAAAACAAACCTGGCCCACAGTATCTTCCCTCCCCGCAAACATCCTCTTGTGAAAGTTTGCATGTAACATTGAGGACAAAAGTTAGCCTGACTAATGGTGCTACTGCCAAATATTAGGTGTGCCGTTATACAGATCTAGCCGATTCCAGGATTTCTGTTAAGCTGCACTATACATGAGTTGTTCCTGGTCTCACCCCAATGTGTCCCCCTCCTTTCCTTTTCTCTGCCAAGCAACAGCTGCACAGAGTATTATCTTACTACACATCTGGCTATTTGCTTTTACTTGCAGAGCAGAACCATATATCTGCACGCCACCCCAATTTCCAAGCAGTGCAAGGTTCCAGACACTTCCCCAGAGCTCGTGTTTCCTTTTGGGAATGTGGCACAGCGGAAACCATGGTGTCTGTATGATATATGGCTTATTTACACATATATACATCCTGAGCCTATGATGGAGGGGTTCACAGCACTAACACCCCAAAGGGGTCTTGTTTCTCCCATAGCCTTGCATACTAGCAGAAAACAGCCATGGCACACTCTCTCTGTGTGTGTTCCTTTCCCAGCCTGCAACCTCATCTCTCTAGGTTACATCACAGCCCCCAAACTCTACTTCAAACTTTGTCTTCTCTGACACAAAGCCCCCTCTCCTTGCTTTGTTAATGGCTCATCACCCCAAGCAATTACCCCATCAGGACCCTAGCCTGGATTCTATTTTAACACTTACTGAATCCAGGAGTTCAGTGTCTGGCACCCAGTTTAACACTCCAAGCCTTGATTAAATTCTAACACACTGGCACCCTCAAACTCAAAATATACCGTATTTTTTGCTCTATAAGACTCAATTTTTCCCCTCCTAAAAAGTAAGGGGGAATGTGTGTGTGTCTTATGGAGCGAATGCAGGCTGCGCAGCTATCCCAGAAGCCAGAACAGCAAGAGGGATTGCTGCTTTCACTGCGCAGCAATCCCTCTTGCTGTTCTGGCTTCTGAGATTCAGAATATTTTTTTCCTTGTTTTCCTCCTCCAAAAACTAGGTGCGTCTTGTGGTCTGGTGCATCTTATAGAGCGAAAAATACGGTAGATCTACATGCACACATACACAGGCCTCTTCCGGAATATTTTGTATTGGGTGGGGGATTTCAATTGCATACTGGCAAACTCAAGTTCTGCAATTAAAGTGGATTTTGCATTCTTGCACATATATATCCCTCCTTGAGACTTTTTTTTAGTAGAGAAGGTGATGGGGAAATGTCCTGGAAAGTGCAATTGTTCAATGCAACATCATATTGCCTCCCCACAAACAAATCAAAATGAATGCTCTATAAATAGCACACCTTCCCATAAACTTTCTGCAAGCATCAAAGGGTGAATGCTCTATAAAGAGATCTGGAAGTGATCACGCATGATGCAAGCATATATGTAATTAGTAAAAAGGGTTACCTAAGCAGTAAAAAGGGTTACCTTTGACCCTTGACTTTAAAAGAAACAAGAAGACTACTCTATAAAGTCATTGACATTTATTTCTTTTTTTTACGTTTCCCAGTATCAAAGTGGTCATGCACTAGAAAGAAAGCAAATCCAGTTGTAACTGCTGCTGTTGTTGAGCAAAGGGTGCAAATTTGCCATTCCAGGAATTCGCACCTGGAAGGCACTTCAAGTAAGGGTCTTGAGTTCAGCTTGCTGTAGAGACATGGTGCCTTCTGTACGACTGACAGCAGAACCTCAGCCAGATGCAGCAATCTGATTCCACAGTACTTTTCACACCTTGCCAGAGTTAAAGGTTGCCAGAAGGTGGCTTTCAGCTCTGGTTTTAGAAAATGACTATTGGACGCTTGTCTTTGTTGTAAAAAAAATAACTCTTATGTCTACCCAAGGAACATTAAAAGACTTATTGTAGAAATCAGATCTGAGTGTGCAGGGAAGACTCAGACTCTATCTTCCAAGACCAAAATGGAGGAAAATAATGCATGTCTGAGCCTTTTGCTCCCTCTGGTGAAACATCGCAGTAAAGCTATAAAGTGCATATTTTTTAGCATTCTGTTTCTCTTTCCCAACAGATGGCAGCTCTAAGTATACTATGCCAATGTTATTACCCTTGAGTATTTGTAGTGGAAATCAAAGCTAGGGATAAGGGAAAGTTCCATTTTAAAACTTTCCCCTTAAAATAATATGATTAGCAATGTGATGCAGGGGGCTCTCTTATGCTATTTGACACTCCTGTACTCCTCCATACAACAGTTTTAAAAGCACTGTTTTTGCCACAAGCGATAAAAATGCAGATAATACAGCTTTTCACACTCACCTGATCTGCATCTCTGGTGTTTTGTTTTTACAAAGCTGTCAGCAAAAAAACTGCGAGCATTACAAACCAGCACCCTTTTTTTAAAAAAAACAACAAACCCGGGTGTACTGGAGTATTTGTGAGCAGTTTTGTTGAGGTAGTACAATGCCCTCTATAGTTTTCAAAGAAATTGCAGCATCTTATGAAGCAGTGACTTCATCACCACTGGGTCTCAAGGGTTGGAGAAAACCCCAATTTCTTTCTAACCCATGCCCAACGTTGCTCTTTAAAAAAAAACCCCCAGAAACTCCATGCAATATCCATGGGTATGGAGAAACTGAGTATGGAAAAAAGGTTTTCCTAAATGACATATGTATGGATATGCGAAATCTTTAAAGTAATATACTCCCCACACTTGTGAAATTGGAGGCAACATTCTAAGGTTCATGTGCAGCTCTTGACTCAACTTTTGCTAGTATCTAGTTTTTTGAGTCGTAAAACTTGTGTATCCTCTGGAACTTCAGCAACCCTTTCGTTTTACAGAACACACATATATGCGTGATTGCCAGCAACTGTAAAAGCTTTAAAAAATACTCCGTTATTCATCCCAGCAGGATCACACATCCTTCATCCAATAGCAGCCATTTCCTGCTGCCCTCCTCTCCTCTCCTCTGCAAGTATATTCATAAGAAGCAAAAAAGACTCCAACAGTTCTTCCTGGATACAGTTCAACCCATTAGGTCAAAGAGGCCGATGTATTGCTCTGAAGCTACTACTTTCGCTGGATTGTTGTCGCTGTTTTAACGTTATAACGTGTAGATGGGGAAAGGATGGCGGACAATATGAATCTTTGCAATGCCAGACCAGCCAGATTAGTATCTAATACATGGACAAACTTTGATGAACTTTCTTTGTTCCATGTGCAAAATCCACAACTGCCCACTGCACCATTACAATATTTGTATTTTGGGCCCTTTCCTCACTGTTTTAAGCATTCAGGATAGGAAAAGAAACATCACTCTCCCTGGATGGTCCCAAAGACTGCACATCTGTTGTCAGAACATAACTGCCTTTGGCTACTGGAAAAGCCATTGGGAGCTATGACCATCAGTTGTGAAGTCTATGAACTTTCTCTTGATTATTTACTGCTGGGATTGGTGCTTCTGGCATGTCTTTCTGCTGAGACCACCGTGTAAACTTCCAGTGACACTTCATGGAGCCACCCTAAATGCTTTCTCACGCCCTGCTGGCATTTGTCTCTTTGAACCAGGCACCTGATCTACTCCACTTGTGGCTGCAGTCATCCAAAATTCCTGTGTGAAGGACGAAGGAACACCTGGATGCTGATTTAATGTAACTATATTCTCCTCTACTTGGGTTGCTGTTTTAGCAGGACCTACAATGCATTCCACATGGGATTTCAAACAACTGTATGCCACTATAGGGCACTGTGATTTCTTGGAAGCCTGGAGTTCCGATTTAGGTATTCCCTGACACTTCCCTATATTGGTGAAGTTGCTTTCCCTCCACCTTCTTCATCGCCCATGTCAGTCTTGTGAAGGAGTTTGGGTCCTGTCAGGCCAATGATCAGAGCCCCAGTTGGAGCTGTGAACAGGATTGCCAGGAAAGCTATTGTCAAGATGGTCAGGCCATAATGTTCTAGGACTGGATCCTTCAGCTCTCGGGCTGTATCTAAACCAACAGAACCAATTGCAGCCTGCAGGGAAGAGGGGGGGGAAGGACATTGAATTGGATCATATGTTATATTCACAGAAGGAAAGTTTCCTGGCCGCGTGTCCCCCTCTCTGAAGCTACCTGCACCCCACAAAGAAGCCTTTCTGGAGAATAAGAGGGGGCCTTCCTGAACAGACAGTGCTGCTGCGGTTGCGAGGGAAAGGAAACCCCTTTCGCTCCATAAACTTCATTAACTAATTAATATTAGTCCAAGCAGGATTCTTTCATTTGGCCAGTTCAGGACTTACAGGAGCCAGATTTGAAGAGCCTTACAATCACAGTTCACTGTGGCCTTTCTTAAATTTGGAGACCCTGGGGCTCAATCCAGCTTGTGGTGAAATGATAATCAGCTTCTGACTTGCAAAATGGGAGGACAGGGCTGTCGCTGCTGTATGGGTCAAGTTATCAACATTGTTACCATTATAATCCACTGGGTTGCTGAATTTGTGTATTAGGAAGCAAAATGGCATCTCCCCAAAGTAAAAACGATGCTTTTGGGGTCCACAGAAGGGAATGCATTTTTCAGTTAAAAGGGGCTTCTGTTAGTGAGATCAATTTTGAGGGCAAATCTGCATGCATGGGGAAAGTGATCTCCTAAGAGAGCTGTGACAGAAAACACTTCAGACAAGAGGAAGAAATTAACCTATGGAGTAAGGAAGCTGATTATCAGGTTGCTTGCAAGAGTCAAAAGCAGTACGCCTTTCCCACCTAGAGTAGCGCACCATGGCGGGTGATTTAGCATCTTTTCAGCAGAAGAAACAGGGTCTCCTATATAGGCATACTCTACCTGGACAGTTGCTTTGGGGATCCATGCCAGCGCGATAAATGTTTTCTCTTTGAAGTTCAAGCCAGCGAAACTCACCAACAGGAACGTAGCAGTAACCCGTATCATGAGAGCCAAACACATTGTGATCATACAATACCCTGTAGGCAGAGGGATACATACTTCATTATTCCTCTCGGGGGGGGGGGGGAATCAGCCCTCATCCTCATCTTATTAGGAACAAAAGTCAAAAGCAGGGGTGATGCGTCAGCAGCAAGGTGGCCAACTGAGATGGTGGGGAGCAGTTGCAAGATGTTAGGGAATAGAACTGTGTAGGCCATTTGGACTTGCCTGTGTCCCCTAAGCTAGCCAGGGGCTCTCACACCCTGGAGGGACACTGACCTGTCACCAGTGCTAAAAGAAGATTCAGCTGCTTGTGTGGTTCAGCTTCTGCACATGGTATTGGAGAGTGCCACCGTTGTGTTGCACCAGCCTGGAGCTGTGTTATGTACTAAGCTTGGATCCCAGAACAACAGGCAAGTAGTATCCTAGAATGCAACAACTGGTTGGCTTGCAGGAAAAGACCAATCAGGCTCCAGGAGGAAGTTAATCAGCCTATTAGGCTGGTAAGATGGTAGAATGCAACAACTGATTGGCCTGCATGGAAAGACCAATCAGGCTCCAGGAGGGAAGCAGAATCAGCCAATCAGACAGGACTCATTGTATAAATAATCTATATAAAAGCTTGAGGTTTCGGAGGCAATTCAATCACTGTTTCACAAGCTGCAATAAAGAGCATGGAATCACTACAGGATTTAAGCTGCCACAGTGAAAAATGGGCAAGAAGCCTCTACAGCCTGCCATCTTCTGCTGTGGCTCACACAAGCAGCAGGGACTTGGATGCAGCAGTTGACCCTCTGCTCTGTTCTCTCCGGGGCAATGCTCTGCTCATTCACTTATGGAAATGCATGCTTGTTCAGCTTTGGAGGAGATGCTCCATTAGCTGTCCTCTAAGGGACGCAGGTGGCGCTGTGGTCTAAACCATTGAGCCTCTTGGGCTTGCCGATAGGGTCAGTGGTTCAAATCCCCGCAATGGGGTGAGTTCACGTTGCTCAGTCCCAGCTCCTGCCAACCTAGCAGTTCAAAAGCACGTCAGAGTGCAAGTAGATAAATAGGTACCGCTCCAGCAGGAAGGTAAACCGCATTTCCGTGCGCTGCTCTGGTTTCGCCAGAAGCAGCTTAGTCATGCTGGCCACATGACCCAGAAAAACTGTCTGCGGACAAATGTCAGCTCCCTCGGCCAGTAAAGCGAGATGAGCGCCCCAACCCCAGAGTCGTCTGTGACTGGACTTAAGTGTCAGGGGTCCTTTACCTTTTTAAGGGACTATAGCCCCACTCATCAGTGTGTAGGAGCCAATTCCTAGAGGCTGAGGCCCTAATAAAATATTTGAGGGGGCCGGGCCCCCCACAACTTGATGGCCATTGTCATTCAAATGATTTGTGTGTGTGTGTGTGTGTTGCATCATGTGATCGATTATGCAGGATGGGACTTACCTGCCCCTTCCCCCGCAATGTCTTATTCAAGTTGGCACCCCTGCCAGCTCAGGTTAGCAGACTTACCAACCATTTTTGGTCCAAGAGAGACAACGGATATTTCAGCTCCGATTAAACCAAACAGAAAGGGTTGGAAAAATTGCCAGGCAATTCTAACAATCTCTTCCACTGCTTTCTGCAAAACGAAGAGTGAACACAAAGTGTTACAAGAACTAGTATTATTCTCTTTTATTAGATTTTTAAAATATAACAATTTTTAATGTAACAAGCAATTACATAGCATAATATATTATTCTGCAGCATGTTGGTTGGTCCTGATCAATTCAGGTGCTGACCAGCTGTGGATTCTGGAATTCTTTCCCCCACAAACTAGCCGTGTAATTAATCAATGTGTCCAACATTAATTTTGTTTAAGAGACCACTTTTCAATTTGTATCCATTTCCCCCAAACTTCTAGAAATTTTTAACTTCTATTCAGTTGAAGCTATGAATAACTAGCTTATTGTGTAGTTGTAGTTGTTGTCATTCATAGTATTACATTTCTCTCTTGCCCTTGATGCTAAAGGAGCCCAGGGTGCTACTGTAAAGCAGTCCAACTTGAGTTCTCTCCTTCACATAAATCTGTTCCTGAGTTCTCGGCTTTAAACGGCCTCGGTCCAGTATACCTGAAGGAGCGTCTCCACCCCACCGTTCGGCCCGGACGCTGAGGTCCAGCGGCAAGGGCCTTCTGGCGGTTCCCTCATTGTGAGAAGCAAAGCTACAGGGAACCAGGCAGAGGGCCTTCTCGGTAGTGGCGCCTGCCCTATGGAATGTCCTCCCATCAGATGTCAAAGAGATAAACAACTACCTGACATTCAGAAGACATCTGAAGGCAGCCCTGTTCAGGGAAGCTTTTAATGTGTGATATTTTAATGTATTTTTAATCTTTGTTGGAAGCCGCCCAGAGTGGCTGGGGAAACCCAGCCAGATGGGCAGGGTAAAAATAAATTATTATTATTATTATTATTATCATGTTTGCGAAAACAGGAGTGCTTGGTGTGCTCTGGTCCATGGGGTCACGAAGAGTCGGGCACGATTAAACAACTAAACAACAACATTATGTTTGCAGAATGCTCACCTTCTCCACAGACCATCTCAGCCCAGCCAGAAATGACAAGACAATTGTGCAGAGGCCTCCAGATCCAGGAAAGCCAAAATGCTTGCAGCTCAAAAGAGTAAACGCAGAGAGACCCAACAGAAAGAATGCTCTCTTCCACACTACATATGCCTAAGACCAGGGAAGAAAATAGAAAGTATATTTAAAATATTACTATAGCATTACTAAGAAACTGCCCTAAATTGATGGAATCATAATGTTAATTTAAAATCTACAAATGAGTCCTCTGTTTAGGACAAGATCAGCAATGGCAGAAAGATCCTCATCCCCCTAACAGAGCCACGAAGGTCAAAACTTCTCCTGCATGTAGAGCAGGTTTAAATCTGAAGGGGAACAAATGACCCCAGTCTGGGCCCACCAAACGTTTAGAGTCGGTGGGCATCTTTGGGATTTTGAGAAAGTACCAGGGGCACCAGTTGCAAAAGGCTCGAATGGGGGCGTGGCATAACACAAAATGGCTGCCACACCCAAAAGAACAGGAAAAGAGATAAGACCACAAAACGCCATGGGCACACTGCCCCATCAATGATGGGAAAATACACTTTCATCATTCACTGCTGCTCTGTTTAAAACAGAAGGGAGGGAGAGAGGGTATCCCATCCTGGCATCCATTAAAACATGGTGACAGGAGTGAGGCAGCAGTAAACCACACTGAGCAAGTTGGAATTAACTCTTTATTAGCGAAAACAGGACCTTCACAATAGTGTCAGGCCTAATGAGCACAGCAACTCATCTCTGGTGGGTCTTGCCCCCATGAAGCAGTTGCTGAGACTGAAGATCTCTGCCTAGGTCCCCTCCTCTCCAGAGTTTCCCCAAGCAATCTGAGACTATGCCTGAGTGAAGCTAAGTTCTCCTCTGCCCTCTTCATGCCTCCCCTAGGGAGGGAGAGCTTGTCACAGCAGGAGGGGCAGGACACCCTTGCATCTTCACTAGCTGGACTCATCTCTGCCTCTTGGCAACCACGCAGGCACTGTGCAGTCTATGCCACAGTGAAAAAACTGATATCTACATAAGTTACACACTACTGGCTCCAGGAAAAAGAATGCCAATAAAATACACTGGATTCACATCCTTGGGAAAGAGTGATTTTGTAACGCTGACAATCTCTGGATCACATTCTCAACAGTGACATGGATAGTGTCTTTTGCATCATTCCCTTACCACTTCCCCTTGATGAGATGCAAGGCTGAAACTTTCCAGCAGCTTCCTTTCTTACCTGATCCTTGCTTGGAAAGTACCAAATAAAAATTCCCAGAAGGCCACCAGCTCCTGCGCCGATTACAACTTCTATTAAACCACGGAGGATACTCTTGAAGACAGAGCCTTTTTGGACACAACAGAAGAAAAGGGTGTAAACACAGATTTTCATTTTTCCTGCTTTGCTTGCATAAAGTTTATGCAGGGGATAGATTATGTCTGGCCTTTACTGAGCATGAGTTCTAATTTGTTTGTGGTTATACGGCAATGAGCATTAATCCTTATTTGCTTGAGCAGTGGTTATATTATTCCCATTAATCATTAGTTTATCCCACACTTTTCTTTTCTTTTTAAAATAATTTTATTAAGTTTCCATTTACCAAATTAAACATATCATACCAATTAATCCGAATTATAACAATACACATCATAAAATCCAAATATTTTCCAAATTATAAATTTTTGTGGGGGGTACCCATGCTTCGCGATCGGCAGGAGTCCAATCATCTATCTTTCTGCTGCTTTCATGTTTACAATGATGTTTTCAGTCCCATCTTCTCAACTCCTTGTCGTTACTCATTTTCCTTTTCGGTCACCTCCGAGTTCTCTCCACAAGTGGATTGAAAGAAACAGTCTTATTTATATTTTTGTGTGGACTTTATAATGCTCTCTCCTAGATAAATCCAATAGTCCAGGCGTTCCGTTCGAGCAGGCATTCGCCATCTGATGAAATACAGTCTAAATGTCCGCTCATTAACTTTCCAGACCCGCTGCATCGTAAATTAGTCTCTCCAGGAGTGTAATAGCCCTTTCAAGTTTACGATCCCAACCTGATAACAGATCTACGGCTCACCCTCCCTAAGACCATATATCATGCAACAAAGGTCTGCCTGTCCATGTCGGATCACATTTCTTACTGCGTCACAAAGGAGCCTCTCTTCTTTCCAAATCTTTCACAGAATAAAACCTTTAACTCATTATTTTCCCCCACACAGTTTATTTTTAGTCCCACTTGCAAATTGGTCGTTGAGACGGTTCTTCTAAGGGGGAGGTTTAGGTAAATCACATAGTTCATCCCACACTTTTCAGTGCCTTTCCTGCCCTCCTCACATTCCTAAAGTCCTTCAAAAAAGTGAAGTTGTTGTACTATGGCAACAGAGCTTTAATTCACTTCAAACCCACATTCCCAGCTTGTTCACACTTCTGTCTCAGCAGCGTCTACACCAGGGGTCAGCAAACTTTTCCAGCAGGGGGCCAGTCCACTGTCTCTCAGACCTTGTGGGTGGCCGGACTATATTTTGAAGAAAAGAAAGTGATTGAATTCCTATGCCCCACAAATAACCCAGAGATGCATTTTAAATAAAATGGCACATTCTATTCATATAATAATAATTTATTATTTATACTCCGCCCATCTGGCTGAGTTTCCCCAGCCACTCTGGGCGGCTTCCAATCAAGTGTTAAAAACAATACAGCATTAAATATATAAAACTTCCCTAAACAGGGCTGCCTTCAGATGTCTTTTAAAAAGAAGATAGCTGCTTATTTCCTTCACATCTGAAGGGAGGGTGTTCCACAGGGCGGGCGCCACAACCAAGAAGGCCCTCTGTCTGGTTCCCTGTAACCTCACTTCTTGCAATGAGGGAACCGCCAGAAGGCCCTCGGTGCTGGATATCAGTGTCCGGGCAAAACGATGGGGGTGGAGACGCTCCTTCAGCTATACAGGACCGAGGCCATATGTAAAAACACTCAGATTCCCGGACTGTCCACAGGCCGGATTCAGAAGGCGATTGGGCCGGATCCAGCCCCCGGGCCTTAGTTTGCCTAGCCATGGCTCTACACCTTTCTTGGCACTGTACACAGAATGGAAGATGGCAGGATCCCCAAGGATGTGCTTTTCGGGGAGCTGGTTTCAGGCACCAGGCCTGCTGGTGGACCAACTCTGCACTATAAAGATGTCTGCAAATGAGACATGAAGGCTGGCAACATCAGCCCTGTCGTGTGGAATCCCTTGCAGACAACTGCAGTGTCTGCAGACAGACAGCAGGTCATGCATTCACAGTAGTTACCAGAGGAGAAATGAGGAGCGCAGAGAGAAGAAATGTCCTGAAGAGTATTTTCAAGATAGAAAGCAGACAGAGTTAAGAGTATGTCTTCCAGGGATCTTTGTTTTTGTTTTAAAACGCAACTACTGAATTGAGAGGCTTTGTGCAGACTCCCACGAGAGGTGGCGGACTCTCTTTCCTTGGAGGTTTTTAAACAGAGGTTGGATGGCCATCTGTCTGTGGGATGTAAACACAGGAGCAGTCAATGACAACATTCCTAGAGTGTACATATTAGAACATGGGGAGGGATGTCAGTCCAGCAAGCAGGTAAACTTCCTGGGGACGGACTTCCTCTGCATGTGACCAGAGGTGGGTGTGGCCTCACCTGTGCAGGTAATGACAAAAGCACAGGGCAGGCAGCCACTCTCTCTCTCTGCCATTTTCCTTCGATGAAGCAACATCTAAGGATGCTCTCTTGGCTCCCAGCCAAGAGAGGAGGAAAGGACTATCTTGCTACAAGATAGATTCTGAATGTATGTAACCTTTTTAAGCTGTCTGCCTTCTGGGATCATATTGTGAACAGAACGTGAGTAAACTCTTTTATACTTTTATAAAGACTGTGTCGTGTCTTGTATTTTAAGAGGGAACAAAAGGGGAAATTACCAGAGTAATTATTACAAAGGTTCTAGCGAACCTGTGCACACGTTACCGTTGCGCACTTAAAGGGGAATGTTTATAAACTCTGTTGATATTTTGGGAACTTGTTAGCACAAGTTGAATAAGGATATAATTAGTCAATATATCCTCTCCTGCACCCCAGAACATTCCCACACTGTCATGGATGGGTTCCTGCATTGCTGGGGGCTGGACTAGATGACCCTTAGGGTCCCTTCCAACTCTAAGATTCGATGATTATATACAGGAGTTGCAATTGGTTCTTTGTCCAGCAGGTGGCAGCCACTGTACCACAGCAGAAGTAAAAGAAAAAAAGAAATGGCGCTCACCTGCTGTGATCGTTCTACAGTTTCTAAAGTGCAAAGATGAATATAGGAGGAAAGACAAAGCTGGTGTAACTCAGCTCAGAACCAGAATGCTGGGTTCCCTCCAGACTGTCACTATACTGTGGGATGTATTCAACTTCATACCTGCAAATTTAGGTTTTCACATAACAAACCAACTTTTTAATGCAGACTTTTTGTAGTAAGCAAAGTGATGGGAAAGCACACTAAAAAGTTTGGGATAACAATCAGTTGATGGGAAGTCGTATAATCTCTGTGCAAAGAAATTAGGATGAGTGCTCACTCAGCAGTGGCTATTGTATAACCACTGCAGGAAGAGATAAAAATGAGTGCTTAATAAACAGCAGACGCTATATACCCACCACACAGGCTTTGTGCAAACAACTCAGGATGGATACTCAATAACAGGTCTTCAAAAAGCTCATCTCTGTAGTGAACTACCACATAAAATAGAAAAGTTCAGCGCAGCTGTCTCGTGCGATGTGCTGCTTTTGCTCTCTCTTTCACGCATAGCACTTAGTTGGAAAGCTGCACTGCAAAATTCATAGCTGTGTGGAGTTTGAAGGATGGCCGAGTTGCAGTCTGTGCGTCATTTCAGAAAGTGCAAATTAAGTAATTTCCCCTTTAACGTGAATGGAATGGAATTCCCCTTCTCCCAGTCCCAGCTGTTTGACAACATATATTCTCTGTTAGAGAAGAGGTCACATCACAATGAAGCCTTCCTGAAGGAAGTCAGCTTTCTCCCATCCTCAAGAGAAATAGCACCGCATTCAGCCTCCCAATTCTGTCTATGTTTTTTTCCCCTAATGGGTCCATGCAGTGGCTTTTCATTCCTAGGGAGTAGCTCCAGTACCTGTGGAAAAGGCCATGCCCAAGAAGGTGTTGAATCCTGTAATGGCCACGATATCATCCAGGCTGGCAGCAGCTATTACCAAGGTAGGAATGCCTTTATCAACACCATATCCTCTGGATTGCAACATCAGCAATGAAAGGACAACGATAGCAGGAGACACAGCACCTAGAACAAACCTGAAAGGGCACAAAATTAGCTCTTGGCAAAAGAAGGGAACATTACATTGCTTCCTTCAGATAAAACTTTACAGAAGATGATGTATCAGAAATTTCTGGAAATAAATGTCTCTCCCCTCCCCTTCTCTCTATAATCACAACAATGCACTCCATGTTGCAAAAAAGGGAAAACAAGACACAGCTGTGTGCAGTGCCGGATTTACGTATAAGCTAAACAAGCTATAGCTTAGGGCCCCCTCTCTTGGGGGCCCCCAAAAAAATTAAAGGGGAAAAAACCTGGATGTACATTTCCAAAATGTAAGATAAAAAACAAATAAAATAAAACCTACATACAGGAACAGTGTTTTGTGTTGTGTAGGCTCCTATGATGTAAGTAATGGGCCCTGCCTGCTAGTCTGCTCCCTAAAACATCACTGGCTTGCTCATTTCTATATATAGGGTGCCTACACTCTGCATGGACTGGTTGCATAGCAACATGTGCAAAGGACCAGTGGTCAGGGATGATGGGAATTGTAGTCCAAAACATCTGGAGGGCCAAAGGTTGGGGATGCCTGCTATTAGGTCCATAAATTTCCAAATAGCATATATTCAACACAAAAAACAGTGACAATTTGTTGTTGACAAAGGACAGCTGGACATATAAAGGGCCCCGTTACCTTCAGTAGCTTAGGGCCTCATCAAACCTAAACCCAGCCCTGGCAGTGTGTCTTCTCTGTTTCTCAGTGCTGCCACTCTATGAAACGCTGCAAGCACCTTCATTATCCAGACTAGTAATGGATTGCAGGGGAAGGGAGAGATTCCATGCTTGCATATTCTTATTAATAACACTAAAGAACCCAAACGACGCATCCCCTCAGGGCTTGGGACTTTGCGCGCTGTGTTTAAGGTTGCAGTTGTAGGTATTGCTAGAAGATATGTACCGCTTGCAAGCAAGAGAAAGCAGAGTTATCTCTTACCCTAACATAAACCCCCATTCCCATGGCAGGTTCATGATATAGTGAGACAGGACAGCTGCAGCACAGGCTTCCGTGAGGCAAGGACCAAAGCTTAGTCTGAAACAGATCGCTTTCAACTTATTCAGAGCCTGAAAGTCAAAACACAGTGAAAAACAAAAAACTGTTGTCAACTTCTTTTTTACTGTTACGTAAAATCAGTTGAGATTTGCTCTGCTGTACTCAGCCTTGATTGTATGGGACAATACAATGCATTATAATAGGAGATTGGAAGTGGATTCAAGGTGTTTAGGATGAAGATAGACGTACACCTTTCAGTTCGTCTCCTGCAGTGTGAACCCAGGTCATCAAAGTGCATTACAGATATGCATTCCAGAAAACTGCGTACTGGGTTGGCAGTAAGCCTCACCCTTAATTTCAAGAATTAGGGGGCTTGTAAGTTTCCCCCACATTCTTTTTTTAAGCAATGCATGCACAGGCAACACTATCTAATTTTAATTCCCTTTGGGTGAGAGAGAATTAGAGACTTGCAATGCCCTTCATTTACAAATATACAAGCAGAGTGTAAGTGGAAGTAATTCATAAAACATAAAACAGTAATTAATAATAATAAAAAAGGGTCTGTGGATCAGGAGCTGTAACAATATACAGTGGTACCTCGGGTTACAGATGCTTCAGGTTACAGACTCTGCTAACCCAGAAATAGTACCTCGGGTTAAGAACTTTGCTTCAGGATGAGAACAGAAATCGCGCAGCGGCAGCGGGAGGCCCCATTAACTAAAGCGGAACGAATTAATTTCTTAACCAGAGGTACCATTGTATTCAGTAAGATGCTCAGCCTTCACCTTAAAAAATTCAGAAACTTATGTAAAAACAGTGACAGAGATTAGGGGTAGAAGTGTGTTGGATTGGTGCTAGCCAATTGGTTGCCCTTCACAGATGAATTTTCCCCAATGTACATTGGCATTGCAAGAAACTTGTTCCAAAATATTTTCCAGAGCTTGCTCCAAAGCAAAAAAAACCATACTTTTGTACCAAATCATACCACTACAACCGCAATAAAAATACTGTATCTGTTTTCATTCTTCCTTAGGAATGGAAAATTTAAATAGAATGGTGCTTGAATCCAAGAGCTGTGGGTTTGGCATCTAGGTAACAACTCTGTTTTCTGGGTTCTGCAAATGTCTCTGATGTTTAGAGAGCGGTGGGATAGAGAAATTATATCTAGCATATTATCTAGTGAATATTTGGAGCTGGGAAGAGTTTAAAGAATAAACAATCTTTCTGTGGGCAACATTCTTTTATTTTGCTTTTGTGTGGTCGCCAGGAAAGCTCTTTGCCACACATCTCAGTGTCCATAAAGATTTTGCATGAGTTAAGGACCATTTGATACTTCACCTGTGGGTCGAGGCCAAGACCAGCAAGAGCCAAGATAATTGAGAGGGCAATGTTTCGCATGGTAGCTCCCCATTTCACATTGATCTGGACTAGTTTACTAGTGTACGGGACATTCCTGATGAGAAACCCAGCAAGCAGCATCCCTAAATGGAACAGAGAAAGGCATGTCACTCATTGTTGACATCACAGGCGGCAAGCAACATTTGGAAAGCATGGGACGAAGTGGCTGAAGTGTTAAATCGTGTGCCAGAATAACAATATGGAATGGGGCTGGGATTGGACTATATCACTGGGGGAGAGGGGTTGAATCCTTTCCCCTCTACCCTTTCACAATTTAAATCTGCTGGAAACCAGTAACAGTTGCAGGCAGCTGGGGAAGAGAGCAGCATATGAATGCCTTTTCTCCAATCTGTACCAAGTAACAACTGTGGCACAAATTTAAGTCAAGGAAACAGTTTTGTGGGCAAAGGTGAAAAGATCCCTTCTCCAGAACTGCAGCCCAGATCCTGTTCAAGCCCCTTTCTGTGGCTGCTTATAAGTCCTAAAAACCAGTATCTACTTATCTAATTTACATGGAGATCTCACTCACAACTGGGAAACACTGGCCTGCGAGTGCTCCAATTGAAGACACTCAAACTCGGGACAAAAGGGTGCTAGGAGGAAGGCACGCTTGGCAAACCCTCAATACTGTGATTAACTCCTGCCTGGAAACCTATGTCCCCACTATGGAAGGACGTGGGGATCCAGAATTGGCCTCCACAGTCACTTGCGGACTCACAGTGAAAATTGTATTTATAGAAGACAATTTTACTCAGCTACGAGCGATCGCAGAAGACAACGACATGCAGATACGATTCTCTCTGCCCCAACCACTCTGTGCTGTCTCAGATGGAGAAGGAAAACAGCCTTCCATCTTAAACTGACAGTGACTGGTAGATGCCATTCTTCCTTTTTCTATTTGACAAGACACAGAGATCCCTGGGACTGATGTTACTGTGCATCAGTTGGAATTCAAACTCCCCTAGTACACTTACATACTTGATGAAACAGGTACTGTATATGACCATCAACATACAAAGAAAGATCCTAACAGCAACTTGCATATGCATATTAAGAAACCAGCTTTTCTTAAACAAACAGCTCCTTGTCTTTTGTCACTCTCCTGCCCAAAATACAAGGGACCCAAGTCCAGCTCAGTCTGAGAGGTAGTTAAGCACATGTATTCAATGGGGTTAACAAGACTGACACCTTTTCCTCTTTTGGCTGGATGGGATCGTATGTAGGGTGATGCAAATATGCTGTATATCTTGCTTACACTTGAGAGTCCTCTATTACTCACTGGGGGGAAATGGACAAAGAAACTCTTTAAAACTAGAAATACCTTTTGTAACATTTCGGTTACCTGAAGGAAATAAGCCTATGACTGATCTCCAATGGAAACCTCTTGAAATGATGCATAAATAAAATGGGAGCCTAAATTGACATTTGGACAACTCTGCTGTCATATTGAAAAAACCAGGTCTATGTAAAAATAAGATGATGCACGGTACCTGATAAAGCAATACTTACCAAAAAGACGAGGGAGTGGAGGGAAGCCAGGTATTCTAATGGACTCCATAATTTTACCACCAAGTAAAGAACAAAAGAAGAGGAACAAAAGTCCAAAGACATTTCCACCAGGAAGACATTCCTTGCCTATAACAGCCCAGAAAACAGCCCAGATCAGCGCTGCTGCTGCTACTGGAAAACAGGGGAAGAAATGCTTTAGCATCCTTCAGAAATCATGTTACGTTCTTCAGAGCTTCATGAAAACTGATTTTTGGTTAAAGTAATGAAAGAAACAAAAGTTGCGCTAGTAATGCACTTTTCTGTGCCGTTTTTAAAATGTTCTTTTAATTTGATTCTTTATTTAAAGCTACTGTCAAATGCTTGTTGTCATGCAGTCAACAATGATGGGCTGTTGCAAATCAGCTATGGTGCTAAATGTGCTACCATGCAACCCAGGCGACAGATGAGTGTGATTGCTTTTTTATTGTTGTTCTGCAATCTAAATAGATTTTAGAGATATTTCAGATCTCCTCCCAGTTACTGTTATTTGTTTGAGAACGGGGATTTTTCTTGGCAGCCCCTCCTGTTCTTTCCCGCTGCACCAGAATGGGAGCACTGGAAAGTGAAGATGCAATTTTAGAACCATTTCCTACACAGCTCTGGCAAATGAAAACGGAAGTTACAGGGAGCCAATGGCACAAAGGAGCTTCCATACTTATCCTTCTTTCTTTGTTCTTGGGCAATGAATACTATCTCCAACAAAAAACAAAAGCAATAAATACCATTGCAAATAATATAAACGGATTAATAAATAGTAAAACTTTCCCCTATGTGACCATTTCATCTAGGATCTTTAGAGATTTCACTCAGCAGCAAGGCATGAACCATAATGTTTTCTGCAGGTCAAATTATTTGGGTCATATTCTGTACACATTACAGGAGAAAGTGTCTCTGTATGCTTGGTCATGACCCACTTTCAAGATAAATCTGCATAAATGTAGTGAGGATTATAGACTTTTGGGAGTTCACTTACAAGAGAGAACATTAAGACCAGGCTTAAAAGCTTACAATAATGATTAAAGCAATAACAGTTAGGAATGAACTGCAGAGCTGATGGATCAAAATGGAAGGGATATCAGTTATCTTGTCTGTTTAGCAGACAAAAGAATTTCAGTGGCGTTCTGAAGGTTTTGGTTAAGGCTCCTGAAGGTTTTACTTGATTTATCACACTCTGATTTTCCTCCAAAGAGCTCCGAACGACTAAACATATCCAGGCAGGTCAACTGAGCCAAACCTGCTGAAGAACTACACATGAAAATGTTAGAATATGTTACATGTTTCTTGCCAATTCACCTCTGAAGGGTGCTTGACGTCCCACAATTAATTATCCTGGGATAATTAGCCTTGCAACTTCCTTAAACCTCTGGTTTGTTTCTGCCTTGTAGAAGGTCAACATCCCCACACAAATCAGAGACCATGAAAACAATCCCAGTACTGTTAGCTGTGACACTGTGCAGAATTCACAGTTCCATAGGCCGGCAGAGTGATGTCTGAATAAAAGCCAGTAATTAAGGGATCAGCTGATTGTCGGTGACTTCAGTCTCCACTGGGATTAGTTACATGCTGGAGTTCTCCACCCTTGCCAAAAGGGGAGTTACCACTGATCAGCTGATATTATACCTTTTTAAATCTAAAACCCTGGACCTTAAAATTAGGTTAAAAAAAAGAAACCAAGACAATTATAGCCAATAGAAAACTAAAGGGTGGCTGTATTCTCTTCCCCTTTTGTATTCCCTTTGCATACCATTTGTTACTATTTCAGCAAATATGCCTTGTGGTGGGAAAATACATATTTGCCGCAGTTTTCCTGGTGGCTCCTCCTCCACTTGCGGTTCAAAATCCTTCAGTGACGCTGCCTCTTCATTTTCTACAGGAAGAATCTCCTCCTGATTTAAAACGGGGAGAGCGGGGGATGACACATTATCAACAATTGACGTACCAAATAATGCCTGAGTCCCACACATTTTTCTTAATAAGCAAGTGCTACTCAACTCAATGGGACTTACTTCTGAGGATATACAGTGACAAGACTGGGGATTTCGAAATCACAAGGTGAATAACGTCAAAAGGACCACTCCTTAATTGTCCTTTGTAAAGTTACCAGGCGCAGCTATCTTTTGTTAGTGAGATTTCACCCACTAACTGGGTCTTCTTAAAGTTCTTTTGAATGGGGCAAAGGAAGACCTTTCCCCGTTCCAGCTGACATAATCTTGGTGTGCAGTGTGTGCCTGCAAAATGAGCCAAATGAGGCAGACAGGTTTTCTGGAGAGGGGCAAAAGAGAGCTAGAGAGGTGTAGGGCAGTAGACTTCCCTCTCTCTTGGGCAATAGGGCGGTTTATAGAAACCTTTTTTTTTTTTAAAAAAAATGCCTGCTCCAAAGGTCTTATCTTACTGCACTAGGGATTATATAGCTATATCTGAAATTTCATGCATATCAGTTAATATCTTGACCCTCCTCCACCAAAATAGCTGTTTACTTGGCCATTTTCCTATGCCGTGAGGGCTGAAATTTCAGTTCAGTGGAGCAGGGTCAAGATATTAACTGATATGCATGAAATTTCAGATATAGCTATATAATCTCTAGTGCAGTAAGATAAGACCTTTGGAGCAGGCTTTTTTTTTTTAAGTTTTTTTAATGAACTGCCCTATTGGGCATACTTAAGCTGTGCATATCCACCTATGCTGAGCCTGTATATTCAAAAAAACACACCTTGAAAACACATTAAGAGCCTCCACTAGTTAGGGCTGCCATATGTCTGGAATTTCCTGGACATAGCCAGGATTCGCTATGGCATCCTGGCGGAATTGTCAGATAGCGGCTAAAATGTCCAGGGTTTGTTTTTTGGCGATTTGACTAAAAAATAGGTAAATACTTCATGGGGAGTGTCATTTTTGACCCAAACTGTCAATATATTTATAAAACATGTAATTGACAAATACCTGAGCTATTTCGGGCTCGGAATCAACCTTATTGGTCTGCAAAGACCAATATCCCCCCATCCTTGCTGTTCTTCACAACATCCTCCGACATGCTGACCAACCTATGATTTAAACAAAATGTATTTCAGGTGCCATATATTCTACCTGATTTAAATGGGTTTCCCCCCACTCCCAACAGCATTGGGATTTCTTTCTATTAATATTTAAACACTCAGCTTCCCAACCACAGGGTTACTTGCTAAATTACAGTGGATTTTGATCCAATGAACCAAGGGTAGAAGGAAAAACAATGTCAGTGCTCTTCTGCAAATGTATGTGGAAGTTCATACAGTGCTGCAATAGGCAGGTTGCACAGCAATACTCCAGTTTCTGCCTGAGCATCAAGTATGTGTTTGAAGTTGCATGAACTCTTGTACTGAGTGAAAGAACATCTTTGGATTGGGGTTTCTTTTTTTCTAGTGCAGTGCTCTAGCAAAATCTTGCAGATCAACTCACAACATTTACTAAACTGTGTACAGTATTTTTTTCTGACCTAGTAAAAGATTAGTAGTCTGTGCTGCCATGCTGGCTGCAGAGGAGGGAAGCCTCCACAGTGAGCACACCGATACAGGTTACAGTTTCTAGGCTGTGTACACCATACCTTTAAACCACATTCCTTCCCTCAAAGAACTCTGGGTACTGTAGTTTAAGAGGTGCTGTAACACTCTGAGGTGTAAACCACAGTGCCCATAATTCTTTGAGGGAAAGAATGTGCTTTGAATGAACTTTAAAATTATAGTGTGTGCAAAAGGTAAAAGATAAAGGACCCCTGGACGGTTAAGTCCAGTCAAAGGTGACTATGGGGTGCGGCGCTGATCTCGCTTTCAGGCCAAGGGAGCTGGCGTTTGTCCACAGACAGCTTTCCAGGTCATGTGACCAGCATGACTAAACCGCTTCTGGTGCAATGGAACACCGTGATGGAAACCAGAGCGCATGGAAACACTGTTTACCTTGCCACCACAGTGGTACCTGTTTATCTACTTGCAGTGGCATGCTTTCAAACTGCTAGGTTGGCAGGAGCTGGGACAGAGCAATGGGAGCTCATCCCGTTCTGCGGATTCGAACCACCAACCTTCTGATCGGCAAGCCCAAGAGGCTCAGTGGTTTACACCACAGCGCCACAGCAGCAATGATGACCTTAGGGTGCTAAAATCAATGAAAATTTTTAGTTGTGGTTTGGCAAGGTGGAGGGGCCAAATGTTTTTGCTTTGTTTAGAACTATGGCAAGAATGAGAACACCTCTAGCAACCCTGGTGTATATTGTTTAGGGTTGCCATACGCCCAAAATTTCCTGGGCATATCTGGAATATTGCAGCTGTAAGCTCAACAACTTTTCTGTCCAGCTTTTCACTTTTTGAAATATGGCAACCCTGATATTGTTATGAGTTTGTGGGTGCCAGGGTTTGTAGGTGCAAGACACCCACAACTCTTGTATTTAGTGTTAGAATTTAATCAATGCTTGGAGAGTTAAACTAGAAGCCAGACCCTTAATAACTGGACTCAGCTCCCCATGTTCAAAAGATTGCCTAAAAGATGGGCCAATTGCAGAGAACAAGGGGAGATGGGTTATTAGCAAAGCAAAGACTCTGTGCCAGCCAGCAAATGCAAGGAGCCTCTCTCTGAGCTCTGAGAACATTAGAATACAGTGCTAGAGTTTTTGTTAGGACATTTTAGGCTTTCAGTTGGCTGTGTTGTGATCAATATGAAAAAGGTGTCAGTCTGTTACACTTAGCAAGCTGGAGAAGGGGCCCAGAGTACAATGTGAATTGCTTGTTTTGAATCAGAGGCTGCAGCAATGGGAGAGAATGGACGCTCTTGGAGGGCAATGTTTTGAACCTCTCTATTGTAGGCTCGGGATGCGGGTGGCGCTGTGGGTTAAAGCCTCAGCGCCTAGGACTTGCCGATCGAAAGGTGGGCGGTTCGAATCCCCGCGGCGGGGTGCGCTCCCGTTGCTCGGTCCCAGCGCCTGCCAACCTAGCAGTTCGAAAGCACCCCCGGGTGCAAGTAGATAAATAGGGACCGCTTACTAGCGGGAAGGTAAACGGCGTTCCGTGTGCTGCGCTGGCTCGCCAGATGCAGCTTGTCACGCTGGCCACGTGACCCGGAAGTGTCTGCGGACAGTGCTGGCCCCCGGCCTATAGAGTGAGATGGGCGCACAACCCTAGAGTCTGTCAAGACTGGCCCGTATGGGCAGGGGTACCTTTACCTTACTATTGTAGGCTCAGGTTGTGTGTGTGTGTGTGTGTGTGTGTAAATAAGCCATATATCATAATTACACCACAGTCTCCGCTGTGCCTCATTTCCAAAGGAAACATGAACCCTGGGTAAGAGGGGATAAAAATTGTAAATAGCTTTTCAAAAGCTTCATATCAAGATCACCTCCTAAACACTTGCTCAGCAAGACTAAGGCTGCAACAACCCTTAAGACACTTACTAGGGTGTGTAAATCAGTGGGCCTTACTTCCAAGTAAACATGCTTGGGATTGGGCTGTAGCCAGTGCTTTTTTTCTAAAAAAATGTTTAGGGATCCTCTCATTTTCCTACTCATATTGAAATACTGCCCCTCAATGAGGCTAAACTTAGATTCACAAAATGTTTAGGGGTATGTGTACCCCGGCATATCCCCAGAAAAAAGCACTGGCTGTAGCACTCAGTCACCTCTGCACTGACTTACATGGGAGTAACTTCCAGTGAACCCAGTAGGGTTTAAGAAACCATTAACTGAGCCAAGCTGCAATACATTTTCCATCTCAAGCAGCTTGGCTGAACAAATGTGGGCCGGTTCAACGGCGGATCAATGTAAGCGCACATGCCGGCCCTCAGAGATAAATCCCTACCTGTCTTCGGAAAGTCACACAGAAGCCGCTGCTCACCCATGGAGGGCAAGAGGAGACAGAGGGCCCAGAATAGGTGACCACTGAGGCCAATTTACACCTTCCAGTGGCCAGGCCAGGAGGGCAGCCTTGAAGAGTCAACCTCTGTCCCTCAAGCTAGGTTTCAGCGGCAGATTGCCAGGCTGGCTCTGAGGCGACCATTTCTCTCCAGGGACTTCACCAACCCTGTCAAGCCATGGAAACCAAGATGGCGTGGATTAAATCCCATCCTCTCCAACATTCCGCTTGATTAACGGTCGCTCCTGACCTTCCGGAAGGAAGGAGAGCCTGGAGAAAGAGCGCCAGGCAGCGGGAGAGAAAGCTAACTGGCAACCGGGAGGAGCATTCCCCTCAGCTGTTTGTGTGGAGAGCATGGCGGGAATTCGCTTTTTTGTTGTTTACAAAGGAAACCAACAAGCAGTTGGCTTGGACTGCTGCACCCACAAAGGGGCATTGAAGATTATCCGAAGCCACTTTCACACAGCAATACATTGAGTTTCTACTTCCCTTTTTTCCAGCTTTAAAGCTATATATTCCTATAATTGTTTGCATGTTTTACACATTATATCTAAAATAAGCCAGCCGTCATTAACGATCAAAGTGCTTAACTGCATCAAGAACTTGAGAACTTAGAATATAATTGGACGGACACACACACACGTGTGTGTGTGTGTGTGTGTGTGTGTGCAGTGCTTTTTTCTGGGTGGATGCAGGTGTACGCATACCCCTAAAGCCTGGGGGGACGACGACCCTAAATCAATAAATACAACTCACTAGCAGTGATACTGATGTAGAGCAGAACATTCTTATTTTCACCTGGGAATGCTGGAGGGCTCCAGGTGTGCTGCCCAGTGATATAGGATAGGTAGTCAATGTGGGGTAGGTACTCCAGGGGTTGCTGGACTTCAAGTCCCATCAACACATGACTACAACAGAGAACAAGATTGTCAAGGGGTAGAAAAGGGATGTTTATTTTGGGTAATTTTGTATTTGTGAATTTTCTTAACAGGATTTTTTGGGGTGGGGTATTTGTTTTTGTTTATAAAATACAGAATTTGTAAAATGTGAAACATATCTTCTTCAAATAAAAAGTTGTTATAAAAATATTATACCAAATACACATAGACATAAGGGTAAAAATTATATTGTTGCAAATTATTTTTCCCCTTGAACAGTAATATTTTCCAAAATAAAGATCTTTACAAATATCTATCTATCTATCTATCTATCTATCTATCTATCTATCTATCTATCTCTATCACAGAACACCATTTATTTCATTAGTCCTTGCTGAATGTATGGGTCTGGGGTCTGCAAGGTCTGAGACTGTTTGTATCTTAAGGCCATGTCTCCCTAGAGTGTAAAAAAAGTGTCAGCATGAAGGAGGGTGAGGGGCTTAAAAGATTAAAATGTGAAAGGAACATTATTATTATTATGTTTATTATTATTATTCATTTCTTTTCTATACCGCTTTATATTTTCAAGGGGGGGGGAATCTTAAAGTGGTTCACAACCTACATTAAAAGACTGAATAAAACAAGCCAGAATAAAACATTACTGAAGTAAGTCAAATATAAAGTATTCATTCAAAGCAACATAATCAACAAGAAACTAAACTATTATCTTAAAGATTTCAAAATAAAACATTGCTAAAGTGGTCAACTACAGAATGCACATTCAATGTAGAAAAGTTAAGAAAAATAAATCTTAAAACATTTCAAAATAAAACATCACTAAAGGAAGCCAAATATAAAATCCCCATTTAGAACAGCATAATTAGCTAGAATAAAATATTCTCATAAGCACAGAACATACCTGCTGCTGCTGCCAGCAGCTGTGGAAGCTCAGGTTCGATGACCTGGGTCTGAACTGAGAGACTATCAAGACTATCTCTGGTCTCTTCAGCTGCATCAGCTTTTGTAGATGGAGTCAGTGCGCTGCCCTCCCAGGCCAAGTGGGAGAAGGTCTGCAAGGCAGGGAGCAGGTCTTCCAGGATAGAATGATTGAGGGGATTTGACCCACAAATGCAGTTTTCCTGTGCTTTTCCTTTCAAAGCTAACTTGTGGTCTCTCATTAATCAGGTTGTGAGAACGTTGCCACCCCAATAAAAGCTGTTAAGCTCTGTACGTCAGCAGAACACCTCACTGATCAGCTCAGAGGAGAGGCGGGCTGGTGATGAGGTCTTCTCCATCGCAACTGCCTTGTCTTAACAACAGGGTCTTGAGCAGACTTTGCCCTCATCAAGACTTGATTTTTCTTCCACACTGCCCTTACATGATTTGTAATCCTGTCATTCAGTTTTTTTAATACTTAGAACAGAGGTTTCCAAACTTTTCATTTTGGCAACACACTTTTTAGACATTTCGCGGCACAATAATTCAGTTTTACTAGCAAATCAGAGGTTAAACTAACCTCTTTCCAGTCCTGGGAGGAGATCGGGGAGCATTCACATGATACACCTACACACTGCAGCTGACACATTAACATGTTGCGGCACAGGGTTTGTAAAGCTCTGACTTAGAGCATTACCTCCTTCCATACTTTGCCCCCACATATTTTTGCTGGTACTAATGCTTACATTTACTATAGATTGAAAGTGTACCAAGAAATGGCATTCTGTCTTGTGTGAGAATGGGGAATACCTGTTCTGATGCGTACTGCAGCACACGCACTGCACCATCTAAAAACAAAGTACATAGGCTTTTCTTGAGAACATTTGTGCAGTTTTTCAAGTAATCAAATAGATTAATTAAAGCTTGAATCACATACAGACTTACCTGCCATTAAAGCTCTGCGGGCTTACATCTGAGGACACGTGTGTCCAATTGCACTGCAATATTCTGTTATTTGGGCGAAACCTCTATTTAAAACACTGTAATATTTTAGGATATAAGAAAGGAAACTAAATATCTGGTGGTGAAAGTTTATTCCAAAAACTGGGAACATACTGTCTACTGAACATGAATGAGCTGTTTCAAAAATCCAAGATCTCACTTGTAGTTATTTGTTTACATTATCAATCTTGTATACCTTCCTGCTCCAGAACTTTATTAATTCTCAGGAACCACCTCAAAAGTTTCCTTTTGTTGGCACTCATATTCCCAAATCAGACTGATCATATTTCAGCAGTGAAGTGGCATGTCCAAAGGATGTACTCTGCTTGTGACAGCTCTTAAGAAATTCCAAGTCAAGGCTGAAGAGGTTGATTTAATTCAATCAATCCATTAGTCCTCTGATTGCAACGTATTCCATGGACTTTCAGACTTCTGCAAGCCACTACGGGACACTGTGATACCTAGACAGTGCAGAGTACTGATTTATATGATTCTGGGGCCATTCCCTGACCCTTACACTGCTCCAGATGTTTCCATTTCTTCTCTTCCTTCATGTCCATGACCATCACTGTTCGTTTCAGGAGCCTTGTGTAGAAGTCGGGGCCCTGCCAGGCCAATGATCAGCGCTCCAATTGGAGCTGTGATCAGGATTCCCAGGAAAGCCACCGTCAAGACATCCATGCCGTATTTCATCTCTGTGTCCTTTTCACCTTGACTTCGGGCTGTATCTAAGGCAACAGAACCAATTGCAGCCTGGCAGGAGACAGAACAACAAAACCATCATTGTGAAGACTCATAGAATTGTAGAGTTGGAAGGGATCGCAAGAGCCATCTAGTCAACCCTCTGCTATACAGGAATCTCAGCTAAAGCATTCAAGGAAAACTGGTTTTTTTAAAACCCACCTTCCGGTTCAGAGTCTCCCGATCTTGGAGTTATAGGGACAAAAGTGTGAAAAAGAGTCTCATGCGGGGATCCAACAGGTCCTTATTCAGCTTTTCAAAGCTTGATTACGTAACAGACCAGTCTTCAAAGGTCCCTCTCATGATCAATTGCTATGATTGAAGCAGAATGCACCAACTTGCCTCCTGGGAAGTTCATTATCAAAGCAATCGTTTGGGATCATCGCTTTCAAGAGCCTTAGGAGGACAATTCAAATGATCCATCTATGCTTCTAAAGTTCAGATGGATTAATCTTGACTACCTTTGTTGGCACAGGGGCCCAATCCACCTCTAGCGATGTGCCCACCTTTATTATGCAACTCGGTTGCTTTCTTTTAATCGAGGGACAAAGAAAAAAGCACCAAGAACTGGGGCAGAACGCTCATCTTATGTTCTTCACGCCGCTGACTCCTGAGCAGGTGCCAAGACACAACCAAATGGAAGCAAACCCATAGCAGAAAGGCTATGCTAAAGCTTCGACTCCCTTTGGTGGCCATGGTGTGTTGTGGGTTTGTATTGCTGACTCCTCCAAAATATGACCTATTACTAATTAGTTGCTGCCCAGGACTCGCTCTTGACAGCTTATTAGATGGGCTGAAAATACCCATTTGTAGTAGTATACCATAGTGTTCCATAGCAAAAATACCTTTAAGTAATACACTGTTAACCCCCTTGTTTGTAGAACATACAGGTCTGTTACTGCATACTGCACCTGGATGGTTGCTTTGGGGATCCACGCCAGTGAAATAAATATTTTCTCCTTGAGGTCAAAGCCGGCACAAAACATCAACAGGAATGTTGTCACAATTCGGACTATCAGTGCAACTCCCAGTGTAGCCACACAAAGCCCTGCAACAGAGAAATATGACTCATTAGCCTGGCCTTCATCTTATTAGTAAGAACAACCAAAGGCATGGGTCAATAGAGACAGGCAGATATTATTCAGATGAAGCAGCAACAGCTAGAAAACCTTTGCAATTGTTTTTGCAAACACAGCCGTCAACAGCAACACTATTTTTACTAATCTGTTGGCATCCTGTCTACCTTCAAAATAAGAACTCAAGGTAGATGTGTTTGTTCATAACAGCTAATTAATAACCTAAAACACCAAGAGTCAAATGGATGCATTTTCATCACCTCTGCCAGATTTCAACTTTGTAAGAAAACAGAAAATGGAAATCTATGTGCATTGATTGAAGGCTGTAGATCGCTTCCAGATCAGACAAGACAAACACGGAAATAAGATTAAGCAGTTTTGCAATGCAGAGCAAAACAAGACTGAATATCCTGAGAAGTCTGGGCCCAAATTTATATTTTACTTAAAATAATTATTGAAACATTGGAGCAATTAACCAAATTGATTAGGGCATTATTAGTTGCTAGTAGCTGGGAAGTCAGTTAGGAACAAGTGAGTTCAACTTCAAGGCTGGCAAGTGCTGGTGTCAAATAGTGGCTTAGTCTCTAAGCTATGAATTGGGAATTCCCCAGTTTGAATCTTGCACCTGCTATAAACTCCTTGGATGACCTGTTAGGGAGTTGGTCTCTCCCAGCCTCAGTTTCCCAACTATAATATAGCAATAACTGCCACCGACAAACTGGACTCAGGAAAGAAGATCATTACTCCACGGTCTCCACCCATATGATAGAAAAGGAACAGGTGAAGGGAGCTCGCTTCACTGTCCCTTTCCCTGCCAGAAAGAACAAAACTGCAACAAACACCCTGGAATCCCAATCCATCAACTAGGCTGGGCTGTGTGCATTTTGAGATTATGTTTGTGTGTGTGTGTGTGTGTACGCCTGCATTGAAATCAATTCTAAACCATCTTGGGCATCATTGTACCAAATGGTTGGATTTCAGATAAATAAACCAACCTACCACGCAGGGTAGATATAAAGGTTACAAGAACATAATAATGTAAGATTTTTCACATTTTCTTATGAAAAGCTTCCAAGTTTTCCTAGCTTTGGAAGAAGGACTCTGAACTGCCCTGAGACCTCCGGGTATAGGGTATATTATTATTATTATTATTATTATTATTATTATTATTATTAATCGTACCCCTCAAAAGGTGAGCTAGTTAGTTCGCAGAATGTCAGTGCTTTTTTTAGGAGACCTACCAACTGTTTCAAGTCCAAGAGATGAAATCGATATTTCAGCTCCAATTAAGCCAAACAGGAAGGGTTCAAAGATTTGCCAGGCAACCGCAACAATCTTTTCAACTTTCCTCTGCAGGGGGAGAGCAAAGACAGGCAGCATTGAAAGACAGACAGCATTGCTTCCCACACCAGTATTGGGCTGGGGGGCTGGAGGCACATGTAAAATTACCCCTTCAATAATCATCTCAAGCATGAATTTTAAAAGCTGTTCAAACCGTGCAAGTTTGATTCTATTTTTATTTATAAAACAGTATTAATTGACTTTCAAATATGACCTGGAGGAACTATTCTGATAACGAGGCTACCCAGCCCCCTAAAGTGGCCTGCAGAAATGTTTACTTTCACCTGCTAAAACATTCCTTTCTAACCCAGATGCTTAGAAAGTTGAGGCAATCGTAAACTCTTTTTAGTATGGTTTAAAGTAGGGGTTGGCAAAGTTTTTGTGGCTTGGGCCGGTTCACGGTCCCACAGACGATGCGGTGGGCTGGAGTGCGTGCGCACGCATGGGCAAACGCTATGGCGTGCACAGCTTCCCATTGGCTGCAGGAGCTTCCTGTAGCCAATGGGAAGCCAGCCAGCGTCGCAGAAGGTGATCCTCACTCTGCTCCGCACTGGTTTAGCGCGGCGCATGGGAGCCGACCGAGCAGGCGGTGGGGGTCCATGGGCAGGTTAAACGACCCCCATGGGCCGCTTGTGGCCCCTTGGGCCTTAGGTTGCTGACCCCTGGTTTAAAGTATGGTTCTAAGTTTCTCTTCGTTTTATTGTTTTAACTTTTTTGTAAACCACTTTGAGGGTTTTGGGGTTTTTTGCAATCGAGTGGTACATACATTTTATTAAAAAGATAAATAAATAATTTCCTGGTTTTTACTCATAAGAGGCGCTTGTCTTATGGGCAAAAAACAGGCTGGAAAACCTTTTGCAGGCAGCAAGTTCTGTTCCTCCTTTGCTTGTACTCTCACCTGTGTGGAATTCCTGGTTGCCAAGGCTTGTTTTTAAACACAGGGCTGACTTGATAAGACAACTTGGATTATGCAAGACACACCTTTTAGAATAAATCCTGGCTGAATTGACATTTTTTTGTGACTGTATTTAAGCCTATTTGTTCAGCAGCTTGTTCCAACATACCATTCCCTCTATTTCCAAAGTCTAGAGGCCACTGCTTTATGTAGCCAGAAAACTGCACCAGCTGCACAAGCTGCAGCCTCAGGGCAACGCCAAGGTTTGCAAAAGTACCATCCTGAGCTGCTGTATTTCCTATTGCAACATTTTGCTGCAGCCCCTGCTTGTAATTGTCTATTTTCCTGACTTTCAGTCTCTAGGATTCACTGGCCCTGATCTTGCTCTATTTGCAACAAATAGTGGGGCAGAGATGCCTATTCCCATTCTCATTGAAAGATAGACCCAGTCAGTTCAATGGGATTTGCATCTGCATCAAGAGAAGCCCACCTTCGTGGACTAATCTCCTTTACTGGCCAGGACAATTGTTTCCAGTGCCTAAGTTAATAATAACCAGCTACTGTAAGGAAATCTTAATGGCATTAGATCTATTTCACAACTCTCATATTTCGGAATCAGCATGATTTTTGGACAGGGTGTTAACTGAACGCTCACCTTCTCATCAGACCACACCATACCAGCCAGAAATGCCAAGACAATTGTGCAGAGCCCACCGGATCCAGGGAAGCCAAAATACGTGCTGCCAAAAACAGCAAACACAGACAGACCCACCACAAAGAATGCTCTCTTGCATACAAGGGATGCCTAGGGTCAGGAGATAAAAAATGGAAGACAGCAGAGAAAAATGTCATGCTACAGATGAGAAGAAAGCTTGAAGAGAATAAAATATTAATAGATCTGCATGAGTGAAAAGTCTATATTATTATTATTGTTATTAATCACTTTTAAATATTTTCAGCTAAAGCATAGAGAGTTCTTTTTAACAATTCCCTGCTTCTCATGCTCCAAAACAGAGTCTCCAAAATGTTTTTCCTCTTTACCTGATCCTTGCTTGGGAAGTAGCAAACGAAAACTCCCAAAAGGCCACCAGCTACTATACCGACAGCAACTTCCAGCACACCACGGAATATATTTTCAAGGATGGAGCCTGTTTTGGCAAAGCGGAAGAAGGTGGCTCAAATGGATTTTTGAACAATCTCCTTGCTACACAGGGCCATCTTACCCATAGGCGCTAGGGGTGTGGGGCACCTGGGCACCAGGCTTTCAGGGGTGCCAGGCCGAGTGTCCAGGGCCCGAGACCTGAGTCCAGGGAAGAGCCCACCCGTCGGTCGGAGCACCATGGTGGGCTCTTCTGCTGCAGGCGGCTCTGCGCTGTGAGTTTGGGGGCGACCGAGTGAGCGAGATGCTGAGGCATCCTGCCAGCTCCGCCCTCATGCGCACCTGGGACTGGGCAACCGGGGGGGGGGGGGCGCTGGGCAGATCTTTGCACCCCGGCGCCACATATGCTTAAGACAGCCCTGTTGCTAAGGAACTACCAGAGGAAATATCCAAAGTGATGATTAGCTTTATACAAAAGGTAGGACTATGGAAGAAAGCCACAGGCATTCTAATATAACGCTTTATGGCAGGAGTGGGCAATCTGTTGCCCTCAGCCACATTTCATGCAGGTAGCAAGGAGGGCAAGGTGGTAAAGGAGGTGTTAGTAAGAGAGAGAGAGGAGGGAGAGGAAAGGCTTCGTTGCATCTATTTTTTACTCCAGGCCCGCCTCAAAATTGGTTGCCGACTCCGGCCTTATGGCAACAGAATCAGCCTCCCACCAGCTTCCACCCTAAGGCACCAGGTTTCACAAGCAAAGGCGAGTGCCACTTCAGATTGCAAGTGGGGTGCATTGTGGGTTTTCTTATTCCATGCAAAGCACCCATGCAATTCATCACCTGTATGTAGCAAACGATCGCATCAATAAGAAAGGCATATTCAGGTGCTCATCGATTCTATGAAGTAGCCAGGATACCTGAGGAGAAAGCCATCCCTAAGCAAGTATTGAAGCCCGTAATAGCCAGGATGTCATCAAAGCTCCCAGCAGCCATGAGCAAGGTGGGGACGCCCTTGTCAACACCATAGCCTCCCGCTTGTAAAATCAGCATCGAGGGAACAACTACAGCAGGGGACACAGCACCTAAAACAAATCTGAACAAAAACACACTATCAACCCTTCATGCCTGTTTGTGGGCACATTTCCTCCACTTCCTCTTATGAAATACAAAAGTGGACCTTCTGGATACGAACTTAATTCGTCCCAGGGGTTCATACCTACCCTAAAAAATACACTTCTGGGTTTGCCCGTTTGCACGAAGGTAACGTAACCCGAGGTACCACTGTACTGATTTTCAATGTGTTTCCCCACAAACTGGCTTCCATCCAAACAGAGAAGAAGAATGACCTAGCTGTGTTTCAAGCCAATAATGCGTACAAAGCCTCAGTCTAAGGCAGCTTCCTATGCTTCCTAGAACTGCTAGAAGAGAGCACGGATACAGTGGTACCTCGGGTTAAGAACTTAATTCATTTTGGAGGTCCATTCGCCGCGCGATTTCTGTTCTCATCCTGAAGCAAAGTTCTTAACCTGAGGTACTATTTCTGGGTTAGCGGAGTCTGTAACCTGAAGCGTCTGTAACCCAAGGTACCACAGTACTATTTTACAATGCAGAAATTAAAGAAAACCAAAATATAAGTGGCAGGTGCACTTTCAATCAATGTTTTTCATGTAAGGTTGTTTTAGTTCAAGAAAAAGAAATACATCATTTCTAAGCTGGAAATGGGACGCGGGTGGCACTGTGGGTTAAACCACAGAGCCTAGGACTTGCCGACTGGAAGGTCGGCGGTTTGAATCCCTGCGACGGGGTGAGCTCCCGTTGCTCAGTCCCTGCTCCTGCCCACCTAGCAGTTTGAAAGCACGTCAAAGTGCAAGTAGATAAATAGGTACCGCTCCGCGGAAAGGTAAACGGCGTTCCCGTGCGCTGCTCTGGTTCGCCAGATGCGGCTTAGTCATGCTGGCCACATGACCCGGAAGCTGTACGCCGGGACCCTTGGCCAATAAAGCGAGATGAGTGCCGCAACCCCAGAGTTGGTCATGACTGGACCTAATGGTCAGGGAACCCCCCCCCCCAAAAAAAAAGCTGGAAAAAGCTGCTCACCCTAACATAAATCCCCAGTGCCAAGGCAGGTGCATGAGAAAGTGAGACAAGACAGCTGCCGCACATGCTTCCACTATGCAGGGCCCCACGCTTAATCTTAAGCAGACAGCCTTCAGTTTTTTCAGAGCCTGAAAGACAAGCATATTAACACATCAGCAGCACCAGTGCAGAAGAAACCCCATTGAGTTTTGCTCTGCTCAACTTTCATAATATAGGACAGAAGAAGGGTGCTTGGAGGTAAGGGGTGTGAAGTTCATCTCTTTCTGGGATCAACAGAGGTTCTCACTACAAGAGCAAACAGGGATGGAGAGAAGAGATCAGAATATTATCAAGCGAGCATGTGGAGTTGGAATTGGTGATGGGGAAGAGTACTTCCCCCTGTGAGCTGAGCTTACAATGACCTTGTCCAGAAGCCATTCTAAACCATGAAACCACAGTGAGCTTATGTGACACAGCCACAAGAAGTGGAGAAGCCTTCATTTTATATTAACCACTGCTTGCTGTGTCGTCCAAACCTGGAGAAACTGTGGCTGAAACAAGCTAACTTCAAGCCACAGTTCATGAAGCTGGTTTGTTGCGACAAACCATAGTTAAGACTAACCATAATCCAAGATTTGAACAATAGGTTGAACTGTGGTTAATCAAATACAGAAGCTCCCAATTTCTGCCTCACAGCCACACCAGAAGAGGACACGTGAGGGATGTGTGTGAGAGTGTCTCATTCTTGCATCCAAACACAACTCATAGCTTATTAAATTCTGCCATCTGAACATGGCTTAGAAATAGATGGAAATTAGTTATAGGTTCAAAAAGGCCATGAAGTGAACAATCAGTTCTGCATGGGGGTAACAGGCTTCCCCACACAGAACAACTGTTTTCCTCATGCAAAATTTACAAGAACTTAAGCTTAAACCAAGCCTTATATGAGGAACGGTTTAGGGGATTGGATATGTTTAGCCTGGTAAAATGGAGACTGAGAAGAGATATGATAGCCATCTTCAAATATCTAAAGGGCTGTCACATGGAAGATGCAGCAAGCTTGTTTTCTCCTGCTCTGGAGGCTAAGACCTGAACCAATGGATTCAAGTTACAAGAAAGGAGATTCTAACTAAACACCAGTAAGAGATATTCAACAGTACCATTTAATGCTCTACCTTTGGGTCAAGGCCAAGGCCAGCACGAGCCAAGATAACGGAGAGGGCAATATTTTTCAGGGCAACTGCCCATTTCACTTTGATCCGGACTATGTTACTGATCAGTGGGACATTTCTGAGGAGAAATCCAACAAGCAGCATTCCTAAAAGGAACAGAGAACGGGAAAACACACTGCCTGAAAAAATTCTGAATAAGATTAGATGCCTTCACAGGTTAAGCATTCTGTCCTCACAGAAATACAGCCTGTACCAAAAGCTCAAGAGGAAGAATATGAGCCAGTGGTTACAACACAGGGGGGTAGATTAATGCAAATTCCTGAATTTGCAGATCTAATGGAAAATCCCATTTCCATACTCCTGGCATTCAGTCAAATAATGCTTCCCAGCACATAATTTTTCATATTTGTATTCCACCCTTCCTCTTAGGAACTCAGTTTAGGCATACAACAGATTCCCCTGTATTACCGTATTTTTCGCCCTACAGGACGCACTTTTCCCCCTCCAAAAATGAAGGGGAAATCTGTGTGCGTCCTATGGGGCGAATACAGGCTTTCGCTGAAGCTTGGAGAGCGAGAGGGGTCAGTGCGCACCAACCCCTCTCGCTCTCTAGGCTTCAGGAAGCTATCCGCAAGCCTGGGGAGCCTGTGGGAGTTTCCGCAGGGCTCCCCAGGCTGTGAATAGCAGCCTGCCGCCCGGCGCGCAAAACGCCCTGAAGCAGAGCGCCCCTCACGCCAGGCAGACATCCGCAGCGTGGGGATCCCTGCAGGACCTCCCGCAGGGCTCCCCACGCTGCGGATAGCAGCCTGCCGCCCGCGCGCGCGGGGCGCCCTGAAGCAGAGCGCCCTCGCGCTGGGCAGACATCAGCCAGCCCCACAAGCTCGGGGACAGCGGGGAGGCGGAGCGCCGCCATGCCGCTGTTCCCCGACCTGGTTTTGGGGGGGAATAAAGGGGGGGAAAATTTCCTTTATTTCCCCCCAAAAAAATTAGGTGTGTCCTATGGGACGAAAAATACGGTAGTTTCACAACAATCCTATGGGACAGGTTAAGCAAAAAGACAGTGTACCTGATCTGTAAAAGTCACATTGTCAATGGAACTTAAAGTTGATATTCTGTAGATTGGGAAAGTTATCATATGTAGAACTACCAAGTCACTTACTCATAGGACCATGACCTGATAGAATACCTTCTCAAGATATTGCAGAGATTTTAAAAAATTAAACAACATGCTTCAATTTAACTTAAAATAGTACCTCCTCACTCCAAGAGTTTCTTCAGCACCAAGTAGATTTAAGTAGCCTAGAGGATACCTGCACTGTTAACAGAATGGATTCACATCAAGGTTGTCAACTGATTAAAGCTGATCTTTAAGTGAGTAATCACTTGTCCTTTAGCTGATTAATCAATTCAATTTAACAGTGCAAATGGCTTCTTGAGATTCTGTCAATTATTTTTGCTTATTAATTTTTACAGAAGCACCATTTCCTTTCTTTTTAACTCCATATTAAAGAAGTTCTCCAGGAATAATTTAGCCTACCCCCCCACCAAGAAAAAGCCCACCCATGCCCAAGCAATTAAAATTTGCCATCACCAAACAAAACTGTTCCTCTCTAATTAATCAATTAAAGCTACAGTTGATTAATCTAACAATTAAATTTAACACCAACAGGTTATATAATCTGACTGCAGATAAGCCTCTCTGTAATCTCTGCCCTGTCATCTCCACAAATCAAACCTATGGACAACTTACCAAGAAGGGGAGGGAATGGAGGTAGACCAGGAAGTTTAATGATGCCCATAAATTTACCACCAATTACAGCAGAAAAGAAGAGGAACAAAATTCCGAAGAGGTTCCCCCCAGGAAGGCACTCTTGGCCTGTAATGGACCAGGCCACAGACCAGACCAGCACCATAGCTGCCACTGGAAGAAGAAATAAAGATGGAGAGGCATGAATATATTTCTTAGCATTTGTGGATATGTTACTAAAATAACTTCACACATTCCTGCCTCTTCCCTTTCTTTTTACATACCATTTGTCACGATTCTGGCAATTATGCCTTGTGGAGGACAGGCACATATTCGCCTCAGTTTCCCTGATGTCTTTGACTCAACCACAGGCTCTTGTGTTTGATGCTCACAGCTGTTCAGCAGAGCAGTCTCTTCAGTTTGCGTATGACCATCAACAGCTTTGGAGTCCAAAATACTGGCTTCCTGAATTAAAACGAGGAAATGCTATCAACAATAACAACCATAATTTGTAGACTTTCACCAAAGTACCAAACTGCCAAGGCTGGAGTCCTTGGCATATTTACAAGGAAACAAGCGCTGCTGAAATTGATGGGGTTTACTTATGAGTAAATGCATTTAGGGTGGGCTGTGCATTTCTCTGAAGAAGACTCAGAATTTTAGAGCTGAAGGGGATATTGGAGGTCATCTGGGCCAACTCCCTTTTCAATGTCAGAGGTTCTTGAGTGTCAACGGAGGGATTTCAGCAGGAACCCATCTAGATCAGATGTGAGTTGGAAGGGACCCAAGAGTCATCTAGTACAGGTACCCCAACTCCAGATGTTTTGGATAATAATAATAATAATAATAATAATAATATATTTATTTATATCCCGCCCATCTGGCTGGGTTTCCCCAGCCACATCATCCCTGACCACTGGCCCTGTTAGCTAGGGATCATGGGAGTTGTAGGCCAAAACATCTGGAAGGCCACAGGTTGGGGATGCCTGATCTAGTACAACCCTCTGCAATGCAGGAATATGCAGCTGGCCCATATGGGGATCAAACCAGCAACCTTGGCGTTATCAGCATCACGCTGTAACCAACTGAGCTAACAGCCATGCTCCGGCATGGCAGATTTTTCTTCAGAAATATAAGTGGCTTGCTTAAGTATGATTTTTAATAAGCATGAATAACATAACCTAGAGCCTGCCCCTTAGCGAGAACACAATTGGGTAGAGAAGAAGACCCCAGGACTGAAAAGACAGGTATCTTGCTGTGCCTCTGGTACAGCAGGTGGAGAACTTGCAGACATCCAGTGAAGCAGAATGCTTGAAGATTCAGGACATCCAAATTAAGTGTTTATTCACACAGCACATTACTTAAACTATGGAATTCACAACTGCAGGGTGCAGTGATTGCCACCAACTTGGATGGCTTCAAAAGAGAATTAAACAAACTGATGGAAGAGAAGTCTATCAATGGCTTCTAGCCACAATATCTATGTTTTGCCTCCACTCCATTGGGGAGTGTGTTGTTGTACTCCGGTCCTGCTTTCAAGGTTCCCATAGACATCTGGCTGGCCACTGTGAGAACAGGATCATGGATCAGGTGGGCCATTGTCCCTATCCAGCAGGCTCTTCTTCTTACGTTCTTCTATTCAGGTCATCCATAGTTGTAAAAGATCTGAACCAGCAGTACCTGAGTTACTAGATGCATGGGAATAACATCTGAGCTTGCATTTGCAGCAGGTAGTGTTTCCTCACTCTCTGCCACCAGGTCCTCTGGCATTTTGACCAACCTAAGATAATACAACAACAACAACAACAACAAAAAGTAGAGTTACCTATCAATCAACAAATAGAACTTTCAGGTGTAATAAATCCTACCGGTTCCAGATATTTTTTTATCAGCATTATGACTTTCTGTTATTCGTCTTTTTAAAAGAAAGAAAGAAAGAAACTTGCTCTTTCTTGCTTGAGCTTCATCAGTGCTTGTCTGCACTAAACCAGGATCAGTGAACCTATGGTCTTCGATATGTTGCTAGACTATTATCTCCACCATCCCTGACCATTGGTCATGCTGGCTGGCCGGGGCTGAAGGGAATTGGAGTCCAAAATCATCTAGAGGGGGACAGGTTCCCCCCAATCCTTATCACAGGGAAGGTATACACCAAACTATTCCATCTGAGGCATGGAAGGATGTCACCAGATTTGTATCCGGGAAATTTTTGAGTCACTTCATTGGAAAAACAGTGAGATACAAATACAAAAGCAAGCCGCAATAAACCCAAATTAGTAAGACCTTTCAAAGTTGTGCAAGGACTACACACTCCCAGCACACTAATGCTCTTTCAGTGGGCAAAAACAAGCTTTTCTAAGCACCAAATGCGATAAAGTAATGAAGACCGAGGGGTCTCTAAATTATATTTCATATTCCCATGATTCAATGGCAGCTCCCCCACCCAGGGTAATCATTGCTCTAAGCAGGGGGATTTTAAAAAAATTAGGATCATGCCTGGAGAGGAAAGGATTAAATGCGTGCTGCAGTCCTGAATAGAATTGCCCCCTTCCCTGCATCTAGTATTAAATTTAAAAAATACTGGTGTCATTGCTAGCTGTGCAAGTAAAGTCTAGGTTGACTAGACTTTACTTTAGGTTGACTAGACTTTACAAGGGAAGTAATAGTGCCAAGGGAAGTAATAGTGCCACTGTATTCTGCTCTGGTCAGACCTCACCTGGAGTACTGTGTCCAGTTCTGGGCACCACAGTTCAAGAAGGACACTGACAAACTGGAACGTGTCCAGAGGAGGGCAACCAAAATGGTCAAAGGCCTGGAAACGATGCCTTATGAGGAACGGCTAAGGGAGCTGGGCATGTTTAGCCTGGAGAAGAGGAGGTTAAGGGGTGATATGATAGCCATGTTCAAATATATAAAAGGATGTCACATAGAGGAGGGAGAAAGGTTGTTTTCTGCTGCTCCAGAGAAGCGGACACGGAGCAATGGATCCAAACTACAAGAAAGAAGATTCCACCTAAACATTAGGAAGAACTTCCTGACAGTAAGAGCTGTTCGACAGTGGAATTTGCTGCCAAGGAGTGTGGTGGAGTCTCCTTCTTTGGAGGTCTTTAAGCAGAGGCTTGACAACCATATGTCAGGAGTGCTCTGATGGTGTTTCCTGCTTGGCAGGGGGTTGGACTCGATGGCCCTTGTGGTCTCTTCCAACTCTATGATTCTATGATTCTATGACCCTAGCAGGCCTGCTATGTGGCTTATAGCATTCAGATGCCTTGATGGTGAGCATCTGAATGCACACCATAGCCCAAACTGTCAGTTTACACAACCTTGCAGGGCTGCTGCTGCTGGATTATTTGAAATTGGGGTGATATGCAGCTATATAATGTGTTACTCAGGGTACACTCACTGAAATGAATGAGAATGACTAAGTAATGTTGATTAATTCTAATGGGTCTGAGTAAACCTTAGTTGAAAACTACCCTGGGTGCACCAATGCAGTGTTGACCAGCCACATGCATACATTCTGTACTTAACTGCCTGATGAACTGTAAGTGGCTGGGGGTCACTCTGTTCCTTTGCTAACTGGAGAGTGTTTGTCAAAAAAGACTGATGGGAGCCAGCGCCTGCCAAGCCACAAGAACATGTGCTCATTCTCAAGAATGCCAAGCTGGTTACTGCCAACTCTCTGGGTTCTGCTTTCTGCAACTAGATAGAAATGAAAGGATTGCTTTTCCCAACAAGTCAGAGCAACTGATTCTTAGAGTTGCCAAGGAAGGATGGCACGCCTGGAGAAGCCTACGTAAAAAAACAACAACCCAAAAGATATCCTAAGGCGCATCCGTGCGGCGCACACGCCCTTCCCCCGCGCAGGGAAATCTGGTCGTCGGGTGCTCCCTCCCTTTCCTCTTAGCGGAGAGAAAGGCGTCATCACGCCTAGATTGCCGCTAATACCGTGCGTCTGATGGAAAGCTTTCTTTGCCTCGATTTCGTTTCATAGGTGCAGACAGGATTGTTTTGATCAAGGTTTAAATGTTTTTTAATGACCGCTTTTTCTATGTTTTAGCGGTTCTGTAAATAGAATAGAATAGAATCGTGGGAAATAAGTCGGCCGGTTCCGCGGTGCGTGCGCTTTTGCGCACAGACCTGCTTCCAGTTCAGCTCCTGGGGGGTTGAAAGAGGAGGACGCGCGGAATAATCGTGCCTACCTAGGAAAGGAAGAGCCTCAGGCCTTCTAGAGATGCAGGAAGGCGACGAGAGTGGCTGCTGATCCGCAGGCTGCCGGCTTTCTGCCGCTGCTAGCGGTGGGGGCCGAGAAGGCGAGCTCGCCAAGCCGTCCAAAACGCTGCAACAAGACGCGCGGGCAGAGCCGGCTTGGAGACGCCTATTTCGCCTGGGTTCCTTTGCCAAGCCTCCCTCCCAACGCTGGTGGCGCCCGCCCTTATAAGGGGCCCTCCCTTTTACCCATTTGGAGGGAGCCGGCTGCCAAGCTCCGCTTGCAGGGATCAGATGTAATAGCAAAGCGGCAGCGCGGCGGAAGATACCCCGCACCTTGGAAAGTGCTGGCAGATAAAAGGGAAGCGGACATCTGTTTCCAGGAAGCAACTGGCTGGCAGAGGGCAGCCCAAGGCCACGGTGCAAATGCAGCACCGTGAGTGGCAGGATCCCAGTGGCCTATTCCACTTCACAATAAGGGTGCACGCTAATTAAAGGTGGCCTTTCTCTTAAAGCTGCCATTGCGCTCTCCAGGCCTATAGCAATTCCCTGCTGTTGCAGCGAGAGAGAGAAACGCTAACAAGGCGCTTTGAAGTGGTTTTGCTATCCTTCTTCTTCTTTGGCGATCACTCGTAGCCGAGTAGGATTGTCTTCCATAAACATGGTTTTACCAATAAGTCCATACTGTGGAGGCCAATTCTGGACCCACACGTCCTTCCACAGTGGGGACATTAGTTCCCGGGTGGGAGTTGATCACGGTGTGGATTTGCCAAGTATGCCTTCCTCTTAGCACGTTTCTCCCTTTCATCCTGCGTTCGAGTGTCTTCAAAGCCCATGACACCTTTGGTAAAGGCTGTTCTCCAACTGGAGCGCTCACAGGCCAGTGTTTCCCAGTTGTCGGTGTTTATACTACAGTACATTTTTTTAGATTTGCCTTGAGATACACTGTCACAGAACCCGGGTATCTAATTCTGCTTTGTGCATCTCAAGGAGGTCCTTTTTGGCCTATTTCCAGCCAAGAGAGATGCAGTTCCTGTGTTTTTGGAGGCTGTCCAGTCTGTACTTTCAAGCAAGGCTGCTCTCTGGTGCTAAATGAATTTTGTTTTGCTTCTCTTTCTCTCTCTCTGATTGTGTTTAATTGATAGCATTAACTGCATCATGTCACACATTGGGGCCTCAGGAAACACTGTTTAGGAAAGCTTTTAATGTTTAATAGACTATTGTATTTTAATATTTTGTTGGAAACCCAGCCAGATGGGCAGGGTATAAATAATAATAATAATTATTATTATTATTTAAAAGAGGCACTCAAAGCATTTGTTGCAGGTAGAAAGCAAACGTGGCAAGGAAAGTTAAAACAGTCTGCCACAGGATGCAGTGGTCGCTACTAAATTGCTTTTTAAAAGGGAGGCAGGTTAAGACAAATTCATGGAGAATAAGAGTTGCATTGTCTACCGGCCAGCACTGTACACACTATACCCTTAAAACATATTTGAAGCACATTCCTCCCCTCAAGGAATACTGGGCACTGTAGTTTGTTCAGGATTGTTGAGGATTGTAACTGTGAGGGAGTGAACTACAGTACCCAGAATTCTTTGAGAAATAATATGCTTTAAAGGTATAGAGTGTACACACAACGTAGGTTCTTCCAGTTGCTGGGAATTACGTGGGTGGTGCTATTGCATTTATGTCTTGCTTGTGGCATATGGTTGGCCTCTGAGAACAGGTTGCTGGACCAGATGACCATTAGGCAAATTAAGTTAGAACCTTTCACCCTAGAGTATTAGGGTTTGCTTTGTTTGCTAGGGAAGATGCATTTGTTTTCATGTTTATTTGTTCTTACACATACCGGTCCATTAATAAAACAGCAAGCATCCCCTCCACTGCAGCCTTAATGTATCACATTAATTTACTTAAATGTCAGAGGAGCTCTGAAATCCTTTGTCTGTCCACACTGATGCTGCAGTGGCATTCCACCGCCCCCCCCCCCCAAAGCAGGCCTGAAAAAGTATTGCTGCAATGATTTGACAAACACATGGTACAGACTGGCTTGTAAAAAGCCAGTTAAGAAATGTTGGCAAGCTCTGTGAAAAGGATTAGTATGGAAACGAAAGCTCCTTCACAGAGTAGCAATGGGATGGACCTCTTCCCACAGTTTCATGTTATGAGATGTTGAACAAATCAATACCTGAAGTGGCCTTCCACCAACATGGGCCATTGGTCCACTTAGGTAAATATTGTCTCCTACTGACTGCTCTTGTGTAATCATTATTCCATGGGTGGGAAGCCTCTGTCCCAGGGTTCAAATGCAGCCCCTTTCCAAGCTTCTCTAGCCTGTGAGATTCTCCCCAGGCCACCCCTGCTACTGGCCTTGCTTCATGCATTTTTGCCTGAGTGGAATGTGTCCTGCAGCACTGATGATGCCTCTTGCTTCCTTTGATGGAAAGGTGTGTTTGTGTGCGTGTGGAAGCTACCTTTCTATACAAAGGCGAAATTTACAATCACTGCTGTGTCCACTGTTGCCTCTGCCAGATACGGGCATGTGGCCCTGTGTAAAAAGACACTCCCCTCTCTGAATTATAAGGTCTGCTACTAAAGCAAGGCGGCTGTTTTTCAGATGTACCCAGTTCTTTTGTTGTTGTTTAGTCGTTTAGTCGTGTCCGACTCTTCATGACCCCATGGACCAGAGCACGCCAGGCACTTCTGTCTTCCACTGCCTCCCGCAGTTTGGTCAAACTCATGCTGGTAGCTTCGAGAACACTGTCCAACCATCTCGTCCTCTGTCGTCCCCTTCTCCTTGTGCCCTCAATCTTTCCCAACATCAGGGTCTTTTCCAGGGAGTCTTCTCTTCTCATGAGGTGGCCAAAGTACTGGAGCCTCAGCTTCAGGATCTGTCCTTCCAGTGAGCACTCAGGGCTGATTTCCTTAAGAATGGATAGGTTTGATCTTCTTGCAGTCCATGGGACTCTCAAGTCTCCTCCAGCACCACCCAGTTCTTTTACCCTGCACCAATCCCAGACACAAGTCTGGCACAAGCTTAGCAATCTCTGCACAGTGAGACGGGAAAAACAGTTTGAGTACATGGTAAGCCTGTTATATCTTTTGAGGAAAAGCGAAAGAGAGGCACTGCAAGCAGCTTAAGCCTTCCTTTTTATTTCCAACCAGCAATTATTAAAAGCCTGTTTTTAGCCATCACTTTCCACAGCCTTCCTTAATTCCGATGGCTCTCCGTGTTCTACAAGAGGAAGCAGGGTTGTATCCGCACATGCATGGAACTGAAAAGAACTACATTTAACTGGTAGTGGAATTAACTTTATTAGGCACTTGTAAGGCAATAGCATGTAGCCATTCTGGAACAAAGGCACACCACGTAATTGTGGAACTGAAAGGGCCACATAGTTCATCAAAGAATGCTCCAGCATAAAAATGTTGAATTACAATAGATTCGGAAATCAAATTCTATGACTTAGAAGTGAGATCAGGGTTTTTGATTCCATCTCTTGTATTAATCATTTTATTAATGCCAGGATGCTTCTGTTGCCATCACTAACACTTTTTGCTTTATGCAATTGGCAGCGTTTGTTCTTTATGCTCCTTATTTGCCTCTGACCTCACTCTTCTGGATCCTCCCCCATCCCACTATGTGCATGCATGAGTGCACACACCTAGCAATTTAAGATTACATGCATCTGATTGAAGTGGACACAAAAGCTGGAGTGAAGATGTCATGATAAATGAGAAACAAAATGTAAAACAAATCCATTGCATAGAGAAAGACTGGATTAGCACCTATTAGACGGTTGATTAAATTGTTCATTTTAGGCATTAAAACCGTTGCAAGTTCTGGCGTTCAGCATTTGCAAACAGAAATCTCCAGGTACCAGGTCACATGCTCCAGCCTCCATCAATGATGTACTCCCGGCCAGTCATGAATGCTGACTGAAGAAAGCAAGGACAAAGTTTGAGCATATAGCATAATTCAAGTCACTGTGTCCTCAATAAATACAGTACTATAAATGTAGTGGTCCCAACCAATATTAAATGTTTCAGAAGCTGATTGAACTCCATATGACTAAATGACAATTGTAAAAGGATTAAGGCCGCAATCTAAATCCTGTTTGGGCGGGGCTGGAAGTGGAGGTAGATTGCCAGCAGTAGGGATGCGGGTGGCGCTGTGGGTTAAACCACAGAGCCTAGGACTTGCCGATCAGAAGGTCGGCGGTTCGAATCCCCGTGACGGGGTGAGCTCCCGTCGCTTGGTCCCTGCTCCAGCCAACCTAGCAGTTTGAAAGCACGTCAAAGTGCAAGTAGATAAATAGGTACCGCTCCAGCGGGAAGGTAAATGGCATTTCCGTGCACTGCTCTGGTTTGCCAGAAGTGGCTTAGTCATGCTGGCCACGTGACCCGGAAGCTGTACGCCGGCTCCCTCGGCCTATAGAGCGAGATGAGTGCCACAGCCCCAGAGTCGGTCACGACTGGACCTAATGGTCAGGAGTCCCTTTACCTTAGCCTGTGAAAATCCCCAAAATGGGGCCTTGTGCAGATGGGACTGAGATGACCCAGGATCCGCTAGATTATGAGCAGGCTCCATTGCCTTCACTTGATAGCACTGGGCCCAGTCACGACACCAGCTTCCATTAACATCAGTGCATTGCTCATTGCATTGATTCTGTCGTGCTTAGTTTGGCTCTCACTGGATGGGGCAAGGCAGCAGAGGGAGGAAGAGTTTGAGACAATTGTGCAAGGGTCTTAAATAGTAGGGATTGCAACTACAGTTTGTCCCGAGCACACCCAGCCCGGGTGGGGACAAGCAATGGAAAGCATAGTTCTTTACTGGCAAAGCACTTTGATTACATCTGTTCCTAAGGTGCAAGGAAGAGACACACCAGGGATGCAACAACACAACCACATACACCCACATCTGACATGGTGCACGTAAGCAACTGGCAGCTCCTGTGGCAGCTCCAGCTGCTTCCGTCACAGCAAACCCTCCCTTGTCCTTGGAGTCATTGAGGGAGGAGATGGAGGAACTTCTAATGGTCCATCTCTCTCTGGGGCTGCCTCTTCCCCCTCTTCGGCTTCCTGCAACTCTCCACCAACCTCCTCTCCTCCGGTCCCTGACTGCCCAGGGCTCTTTCCTCTGGCTCCTTCCTCACTGGTGGCACAACCCCACAAATCACTGACCCCTTTGCCTGGGCCATCCTGTCCCACCAGCCTCCTCTGCCCACCCCTCCGACTCGCTGACCACAGTTTGGGATTCAAAACCCCACCTCGCTAACATTACTTGCTTCAAATTAAAGGTTCTGAGTGGCCGGAACAACAAACGGACACTTTATCTTGGTGCCATGAGTTTGCTATACAAACACCCCTCTCTACCCTCCTTCTAGACAAATAAGAGTTCAAGGACCCATTCCAGCCAGTCAAAAGCACTCAAACAAGGACTGGTGAGCAATGGGGCCTGTGGCTTGTTCTGGGGGCCAGACAGAGTGGGCCTGAGGCCCCCCCACCCAGTTCTATATTATTGAAACAGCTGAAACCTGTTACAGTCAAGGGAATAGGGTGGGCCCTGGAAACACATTATCTAAGGTCAACAAAGAGAAGCTTTTGGCACTAGCTGTTAAAGAAGCACTATTTCAGACAACCTGGTATACTGCGATGTGGCTGGCCCATTGTACTTACTTCATCGGAAAGCCAGGTATACAAACAGGTGGGCTACTTCTTCAGCTGTCCCAACCTACCTATCCTTTGCCTGGCCATAAAGTCTTTCAGCGCCTGGAGATAAAAAGCATTCGCTTGCATCAATAAGCCTAGACGTGGTTCTCAAACACAGGACTTTCCCCTGGCATTATTTTTCATCATGCGATACTTTGAATCCACACCCAGATCATTTGGAAGTGTATCAAACTTCCATGTGAATGTTGTTCCCAAGATACTGTTCAAAGAAAATAGAGGGAAAAGCCAAGGCAAATTGAGACATCTAACCGCCAAGGTAACCTGTACATGGGGTCAAGAGATGTCAATATTTATAAAGGATGCGTAGTGGTTCTCCACGGAGGCTGCACTTAAGAAAAGCAACAGCTGCCAACAGGCAAAAGAGCATTCTGCGCCTTCTAAACGATAGGGTTGTGAGCTCAGTTGTTGCGTTTAGGCAAGCCTAGCTCTGCCACAGACTCACGAACTTCCCTTATAATCCTCTTACAGACAAAGCTTTCTCTTCTGCTTTTGAATAGCCACAGCCAGTTGTGTTATCTGACAAAACAGGCTAATATTAACGATGGTTTGCTTGCAACAAGCCATCTTCACAAACCATGGTTTGAAGTTGGCTTGTTGCAAACAAATCATAGTTAAAATCATTATGGTTTATTAGTGCTTAACTATAGTTAATGCAAATTGGAAACAAGAGGAGGAGCGGGGAGTACATAAGCCTACAGGTAGGACTAGGCTCATTCCCATTACAACCAACTACGGTATTGTTTATGAATAAACCATAGTTTACTATGATGGCTAAACAAAGTCAATTAATACATTCTGCAAAAAAGGCTTGCAGTGAATAAGTTATCTACAGAGGTGAGGAGGATCTATTTACTTTTTACATTTTATTCTACTTTTTACTCTCTTGTTATAAATCCCGGGTACAAAATGATGAAAAATAAATGTTTTGAAGCAGCCTGTGGAGAACGAAGGTGCTTTAAATAACTTATCACTGCCGGATTGTGTGTCAATGCAAAAAATGAAATTGTATTGCCCACCTGTTCTGGATCAGGGCTGCCCTGGATTCTCTCCTGCAGAGAAGGAGTGTCAATAGTGCCTAAGAAAATACCCAAACATTAATTAAATGGCCTCATGTATTTAAATTGTAACTCCTCTGTCTGAAAATATTAGTTACTTTAATAAATAGCCCAGAGGGCTTCCCCCTTGAAATGTAAACTTTAGATGCCTTTGCACGAACTTGCAAACAGAACGAAGATGGTGGGGTGCTTCTTACCAGGACAAATACAGTTGCATCTGATTCCTTCCCCAATGAAGTCCGAAGCTATGGATTTGGTAAGTCCAATGACTGCTGCCTTTGAGGTACCATAGA